AATAAACAAACAATCAAACAGTGAAATTGGGCTGAATTATTAATCGGAGTTCTAAACGGAAGTTTCAAAATTTAAAGAAATCAGATGGAAAATGATCAAATCAAGAATGGTATGATTATTCCGAACCGATTGGAGATTAAAAATTGATAAAAAATAATTAAGGAAATTGGGGGAAATTGGCAAAATTACCCAATATAAGTGTGGCCTTTGTAGCGAGGGCTGAGAGAGCTCAACAGATAACAAGCAAAGAATCGACCTTCTCCTTCTTCTGCTGCTGCCATCGCCGTTAGGGTTTCTGGGATTTCTGATCCTGCCTTTTTCTTCCGCCTCATCTCTCAGACACTCTCCCTCACAAGCAGACAGAGTCACACTGAGAGGTATATTGAAATGGGAATGAATACGATTCGACCGTTGGAATATTTTACCCTTATTTGACTGTTTGAAAGCCTCGTCATTCGACGGTCGTGATCTGTCGGTGGTACTGAAAGAGCCAACAGGATCCTCTCCGGATCATTTTGATGAAGATAGCATGGATTCATGAATCGTGTCAGTTAATTGTATATTGTGTAATCAGTTTTTATCAAGTATTGTTTGTGTTTAATTTTAAATAAAAATATTTACAATAATTTCTAATCGTATGATATACAATGAACGAACACGATTTACGAATTTCTGAGATCCTCACAAAAATGATCCGGCAAGAATCCAAATTCTTGAAAGAGAAACCAAGTTTTTGCCACGTGGCTTGCTGTTTCTTTATTCGCAAAAAGAATAAGCTGATTAGTGCCACTTCAAATACTTTTTTTTATATCGTATTCCATATTTGTTGAGCAAAAATTTTAAGGAGGTTATAACAACTAACTTTTATGTTTTGTGTTTTTAAACGAAGATTTGAAGGTTAAAATAACCGGAGTAACTTAAAATATCCAAAGTATTCTAGAACACTTGAGTGTATAAGTGTTTTATACTCTAAAAAATCATATAAAATGCTTTGATACAAGTTACAACACCAAATCAACTATAAATGACCTTGTTCTCTAATTTGGAACCAGAGAAAAAAAAAACCCCTTAATTTGCAATTTTCTTTTAATTAGATAGTTTTTTACTGTGACAACTACGTAATATAACCAATTTACTCATGTTATAACAAATCTCTCGCAATAACAGAAGTTGACTGCATATTTTGATACAGGTGAACTTTATCTTGATAAAAGTTGACCACCGTTTCTAACGATCATTATTCTGAATTTTTCAAGGGAGAGGGAGCTGAATCAATCAAGTTGTGGATGGATGGATCATTTGAATGTGTCACATCCTCCATGGGAATGAGTCTATTAATTGATTTATTCCACTCTTACCTAATCCACCCACTTCCAACCAAAAAAGAAGAAAAGGAAGAAAAGAAGCCAATCTATTCACTTGAATGCATCATCCAACCATTTTGAGAAAGTTTTCGGTATACCGAAAATATGATTTAGTAAATTAAGTGTCATAAAATAATTTTTAGTATCAGCCAATCATTTTATAACATTTGATGTGTCGGGTCATGTTCTCACCCATCAGTTACCAATAGCAACCTAACATTTTGTCAAAAGGTTGGCCAATCAGGAGAAATAACGAACGTACAAGAAAACAATATATTCAAATCCCCAAGTCAGAAAACCTAGCACAATTTAAGCACAAAAACTAGGCTACTCAACCTCAACTGTGAGTATTCACTCCATCGTTTCCATGTAGATTGTTGGCCGAGTCCTTCTGGTATATGCGGGGAATTCTACACTCCGAGACTTTTAACCGTTAGATTATTGGTCAACGATATATTAACAAATATCTAACGATAAAAAACCCAAGAGTATAGGATGCTCCGGGGAACCATTGAATTTTCGTTGATGGACCTCCTCCAACAGCTCATCAAGGAATGAAAGTACAATACCAAGTCAGGTACATAATGAGTTTACTTACTGCTACTATTACAGAAACAGAAATCCAGGCCATCCAAATCTTAAGATACCAAATAGAAATTGCCAAGCCAACCTCCTATTTAGCGGTAGAGACGTCAAGAAACATTTTTTCGACAGAAAATACAAGCCCATGCTAGTGATAAGTTGCACATACAAAGTCAATTATCTGTCAGTAAGCTCAAGTAGGTCTAACATTATCCTTAAGTTTGTCATCTACACTTGGTTAGTTGGTTCATGTTCCTAACATTATCCTCAGATAAACATTTCATCACAGTAATGTAATGAAGACGAAATGATGATTGCGAAAGAAAAGAGGATGGCGATCCAACTTAATAGAAATGCATCATAAACTCACAAATATGAAAGTCTAATCCAAGCATTCATCTTTCCGATGATCTCAAGTCAAATGATCCGATACTCGTGAAGAGTTGAAGATTGAAAGAGCTCATTGCAACAAAGGCATTACTATTTTCAACACAGACGACATCAACTAAGGAAACAGCAGCTATCAGATTTGAGGTCGGCAACACAGACACAGATGGGAAGATACAAGGAGAGAAGCATCAACGAGCAAACCACCATACAAAAGCGTCATATTCCAATTCATTTGACGGAAAAAGATTACACATTATAAGCAGAGCGCATCAACAGTCTGCAACCAGAATACCAGAAATGTAGAATCTTGGCCTAAATAGTCACATAGCAAGCATGCAAAAGAGAAGACAAAGAATCCACATATCAAATAGCAGTAATATGAATGGTATCACAACACTCCCTTCCAGATGCCCTAACACTCATCAGCAAACATTAGTTCATAGGATACGACAGCAGCATTGGTTACACATGTGCATGTGGGCATGTAAGAGAAAGATTATCTATATTGCGCTGAAATCGCAAACTTAATTAACCATAAACCAGCAGCCATAGCAAACAACAATTTCCATTATCCCTAACTGCGGAAAAACACAGAAAATCCATCACCATAAACAGACAAATGATCCTTACATTTGTGCATACAAGCGTGTATACCAAACTTCGACATTCTAAATGTGTGTTTCATAAAATCCTCTCTCAGCCTTTTCATTAACATCAAGTATAGTATCTATTCTAATCGATTAATGAAACTCGAATGGATTAAAGCAGGAGACTTTCTTATATACTGACAACATGCTCTCTTTATAAATAGCACTGGCAAGGTAAAGTACAATGTATGAAAGCTGCCAAAGTTCACAAGCCTTAGTTTTATAGAGGTGGATAATGTCTTAGTGAAATTTCTCCACACCACATTTTATTAGATAATACAGAAACCAGAACCAGATAGTGTAAAATACCAATTTTACAATACAAATTGGATTGACATTGTTTCTGAATACTAGTAATTACAGCTACAGCACACCATTTGCAAACATTATACAACATTTCAGATTTTTTTCAATTGGATCCTTCCAAAATTACAACATCTTAGATTCATACGAGTCAATCACAAACCTGGACTCATGTGCTATTCCCATCAATTACAGCATCAATCCGACTGCTTCGCTGTCGCCGGCGACGACAAATGCCTCCAGAGGTAGCGTCCGCTGGCCATGTCCATGACGGTCCAGAACCCGGATTCCACGGCGGAGCGAACCTGCAGAAGCACACAAAAAGAAGCAAAATTTGTTAAAACGGAGAGAAACCCAGAAGAAAAAAGCTGAAATTGGGTAAGAATTGAAGGGGAAAATGGATTGGGAACCTTGGAGAACCGGTCGGGAGATTTGTTGGGGTTTTGGAAATGGTGAGTTTCTTGTTCATCTTGCGGCGGTTCCAATTTGGGGTCGTCGGATTTGAGGTTTCTGAGGACAAAGAAGCCGGCGAGGGTGGCGGAGAGGAATATCAGAATCAGTCGGAGGGGACACATTTCTCCTTCTCAGTCTCATGCACAGAGAAAGAGAGGAGAGAGAGGATTAAGAAATGTGTGTTGGTTATGAAAAGGGAGGGAGGGAGTAGGAAGGGTGCAGTTGAAGAATGCCAATGGTGAGAGGGAATGGTCAATTATTTTTTTTTTTGGTTAGGTCATGAATTAAACTAATTCAAAGTTGGGAACTTTGGATCCATTGCGATAATTGCATTTGACCTGACACACACACACACACATGTCTCTAATTTATTTATTTTTAATTGCTTGAAGATGACTTTAGGGATAAAGATTACTTGGGGAATCGAGGTTGAGTGCTTTTAATCAGAATTCTGCTCCGGACCTTAGTGTTCACAGTTCAAGGATTAAATTATTTGGATCATTAATTAGTGTGTAAAAGAAATCAGAGCTATTGGTTTTTTGTGGTGGGCCAGGAAAATAAGTTAATAGAAATAGTTGAATTCAATTTGTACGGCCTAGATGAATTGATTCCTAGGCTTCGGACATTAAAGTCCGGAGCGAATCCAATTCCCTTTTAATCAACTTAGTTAATCTTTTTTTTTTTGAAAAAAAAAACTAGAATTTGAGTTTTTTGGGTGGATTTATAGTGAAAATTGTTTATGAGATTGCATAACTTCTTAAACAATGAAAATCAATAAAATTTCATAAATTTGTCTAAATTATTTTGGTCATTCGGTAAAAAATCTGTCAATATCCTCGCAAAGCAAATGGGTTAAAATTATTCTTAAAACGTTTACAGTGGACAAACTCAAAAACTACTTCTAATTTTCCATTAAGTTTCATTGTCACAAATCAAAATAAAGAGTAAAATCAATCCCAAAGTCCACTTTGGACAAAAAGGACCGCATAAATTATTTTGACATTTGCAATTACAACTCCCAACTCTTGGTAAATTATCCAATAAAGTCCACCATGTTGCATTTGCACTGGTTTCCCACTATCCTTTTTAAATGATCAAGCGATAGTGCAGCCGCCCGATAGCGCAGCCGTTGATAATGACAGTGGAACTCACGACCATCAATGGCTGCACTATCGTCATGACCGGCGACTGACGATAGTATGTTAAAGGCATAATTCGAGAATGCGTGATCCATGGCTGCATTTTGCACCATTTGCACCAATCAGCCGAAAAAAGCCTTTCAAAATTATCTTTAAAATGTCTGCGATCAAATGGTCCTATAATCTGTAGAACCTTCAACTTCAAAACTTCAAAAAATAAATAAAGCTAGAATCTACAAAACTAATTCTCATTTAACTGCTCAATCTGTGGAGGCAAACAATCTGCGTGCATCCGGCATCTCCATGAGTTGGGGACCTTCGGCTTCCAAGCCAGAACAATCGTACAAGCTGCCCGGCACAGCCAAGAAGTACATAACCACCTAACATAGATGATTTCACATTATTAAGAAAGAACTTGAATCCGCCCTTGGTTCTAGAAGCAAAATTTACCTGACACTACGTATTAGACTTTGGCAACACGAGCAATCTTTGCTAGCACTGTTCTTAAACTTCGAATACCAGCTCCAGATTTCGAGCTCACCATCACCTGAAATAAGAACCAAATCCGAAGTGATTACATCATTTTATGAATTGATACACATAAATAGTCTGCTTGTGCTTATCAACTGATCAAAGCAAAGCATACCGCAGGTTGGACCAAAGATTTATTTGCTTTCAGACTCTGCAAGATCAAATATGTTGTATTGAAAATGTTAGTCTTACGAAGAAAATCTACTTATATGCTATATATTGTCAGCATAAATAAGCCACACTCACCTCTTCAATTTGCATTGCACGACGTCCCACATCAATTGGGAAAACTGTATCCGTCTTCGTCAATAAAATCTGATATTTAGTTTCAGCCCTGTAAATCAAGTAATAAACATCATAAAAAAAAAAAAATTGAGAGCGAGCCATATAGTTCCAGAATGCACATAACAAGTATTTCTGCATTCATTCGTATATATATACGAATACCAAACTTGAAGATAATAAAGGTGTGATTGCTTCCACTGTGGTAATCCCAACAGTCATTAAAATAGTAGTTTTACAGAAGTGTCCACTGGTACCTTTCCATCAAGTCAATGAGTTCATGATCCCTTGGCTTCATTCCCCATTTTGTGTCAATAAGTAAGCACACTCGTTTTAGACCAACTCTTGTCGAAACATACTCCTTCACCTACAAATTTCAAAGCGTCCAAGAAAATAATTATATTGGCGTATATAAGAGTTAGACTGATTCCACTCTAGAAAAGCAAAGAACTAAAGTTGTTACTCACAAGCTCCACCCAAGCATCCTTAACTTCTTCTTTAGCATAAGCAAAGCCGTACCCTGGCAGATCAACCAAGCAGAGCTTTGATCCTAGATTGAAGAAGTTAATAGTCTGCAGAAAAAGCACATTTGTCATCAACAAACTGAACAGCTAACGAAATCATAGCAACAAAGCCTATTTTGTAACCTGAGTAAGACCAGGCTTGTCTGACGTTCGTACAACACCCCATTGTCTAGTAAGTGCATTAAGTAGTGATGATTTTCCGACATTTGACCTCCCTGAAAAACAAATGGAAGCCAACAACATCACTCATTGTCTCTTATCACAATAAAAGTTCTGATCGAACCACTGAACATACATTAGATGATGAACTCACTAATCAGATCAGAATTAAACTACTAAGAAAGGGATACAAACGTAGAGCTAATTGGATTGCATCGAGGGAAACAAAACACACCTGCAAATGCAATCTCTGGAAGATCAGGAGGTGGAAATGATGATGAAACTTTCGCAGCGGCAAAAAATGTCAATTTATTTCTAAATATCTGTAAAAGTAGTAAAGGTTCATATTAATGCGATTCCATAAAACAGTAAACAGAGGGTCATCCTAACACTATATTGATTTAAGCTTGTTCTGAAAAATATGTGAAAATTGAGATGTATAAACATACATTTTCCTCAATATTCTCCCTTTCTGAGCTGGTAGAGAAAGGAATATTATCCAATGGGGCAGAAAGCTCAGTGTTGTAGCCTGCCCTCCTCAACTCTATCAAGCGTCTACGACCCAACAACTTTAAATAAATAAAAAACAAGAGTTATATTTCAAGAATTGAACGGTTAGAAAATAGAGAGAGTCTCCATACTTAGAAACATAAAATCGAAAAGCATATATCCCAAACATCAAAAGACCTGTGCATACAAATTACATTATCTTCCACATAAGATAGGATTGAGGAACTTGGTTGTATTGCACGAAACTGTGCATTTTTTGAGATTTCAGCTTTTTCCTCCTCATCTTTTTCCTTCTCCTTTTTGCTTTCTGGGGAACACAAAAAATACGAGGTGTCAGGAAAATGAAAAACTCTACATTTCGTTAAAAAAGTAAACACAAAAAATACTAGTAGTAGTGATACAAATTCAAATTATACAAAAAAATGGAAGTAATTGATAAACTGACCATTTATAACAATAGTATCATCAAATCTTTTATTTGAGATATCATGAGGATCTAATCGAATTCGCTTCCTCTTCTTTGGTTGATCATCTATCACCCCTGATTCTTCATTCAAAATTTTCTTATCCGGCTTAAATTTGCTATGTTTCTTCAGTGCACTAGCCTGACCACCATCGGTAGTAACAGATTCCATCTTATCGCCCTCCTTATATTTGGTTTTACTGGAAACTTTTGCACCTCTATCCTTAGATGAAAAACGTTTATTTTCAGAAGTAGCATTCTCTAATCCATTAGAAACCCAGATAGAGCGAGGACGCCCAGGAGATTCACTTGCGTTCTTTTCATTTCCAAAACCATCCTTACTTTTGGTTTTATTGTAAACTTTGGGACTCCTAGGAGAAAAACGTTTAGTTTCAGAATCAGCATTCTCTAATCTATTAGAACCCCACCTAGAGCGAGAACGCAAAGGAGATTCACTTCCATTCTTTTCATAACCAAAACCATCCTTACTTTTGGTTTTATTGGACTCTCTGGGACTCCTACGAGAAAAACGTTTAGTTTCAGATTCAGTGTTCCCCAAATAATTAGAACCCCACCTAGAGCGAGGACGCAAAGGAGCTCTAGTATCGTTCCTTTCACTATCAAAACCATCCTTTACTTGGTTCGGTCCTTTCCTAGAAAAAGGCTTCCGATAAGATGCCTCTCCATTTCTAGAAGACTGAGAATCCCGATCTGTGTCTTGGTCACCATAGATTCTCTTCCTTCTCCTATCACCATTCATGGTTTTAGAATCGTCCCTTTTATTAAGATCTCCACGACTCCCTTCTTCAGAATTGTGAAACTTTATCCCCTTCTTATTAAAGCTCCCCCTCCTATTATCATTGTCACTGTCCCTTTTTCCATCACTGTGAAACTTGGGCCTTCCAATAGATGCTTTGAGTTTCTTATTGAGCTTAAACCTTAATTTAGCCTCTGCAGACATGCTCTAACCACTAGCACTCAATTAAATACCCCGAATTCTCAAAAATCGAATCCACCCAGCAACAACTTAAACTACTCAGTAGCCAAAACCAATCCCAAAATTACAAGGCAAACCTCCTATTTTAGCACACACTTCAGAGCACCACCCTGAATATACTGAAATTCAAGCAGATGTATGAATCCGACCTACAAAACATACACGAAATAAACAATAAATCCCATTTCCAGTAGCATTTTAGACCAGAAATTACACTTGATCGATAAATTCCAGCAGAAATTTTCACAATTTAATTGCACAAAGTATCACCTACAAAGAGAAATAAAAGCCATTTGCAATAAATAAATAAAAATACAGAGGCTATGTTTGTTTCCATGGATTTGGCATTCGAATAGGGAGATTCCCACGCCGAATCCATCGTTTGGACACCGTCACTTGGATTGTAATTCAATACCGAATGTGCCCAGTTGCCGGATTCGGATAAAGCAAGGAACTTGAAATGTGAAATTTCATTTGGGACTTACCAGACTCCTCCTTCGACCAAGCCTGAACCCTCTCAAAGGCGCTGTAATCGCTGCAAAGACCTAATTGGGGACTTGGGATTTGGAGCAGTGCTTCAGCAATCAGCGCCAGTTCTCTCTGTAAAACGAGTGTTTGGCATGGACGCTTAAACCCTAAACCCTGATTCAGAAGTAAGGAGTGTGAGTGACGACTGCTCACATTGTTTACGGCCCGTTGGATTTACAAATTGGGCCATTTGAGAATGAAATTCTCATACGCATTACAACACTAAGGAAGAACTACCCTAAAATGTGGAGTCGTGCTTGACTCTATATTCTCGTGCAAATTAAAAGAAAATAAGATTTGATAAAAGTAAGACAAGGACAAATATAAGTTGTACCATGTTATGTAATTGTTCTTTTCCCATATGCCCCTATAGCTAAGGAGAAATTATTGGAAATCATTGCCTATTGCATGAACGAGGGTTGTCAAGAGTACAAAATTCTCCGCCATCACAAGCATTGGTGGAGCTACGATTTTAACCCTAAAGAGGCCTAGAAGTGTAAATCGGAAATGCTTCCCTAATCTTGCAAAAATTACTTTGACATGTGGTGAACAACCTACCACCGTCATTTGTATTGTGTCATCCTCATCATCCTCTTAGTTAAACCTAAACCCTAAGCCTCTCTAAGTTTCTTCCTCTCTCCCTCTTCCTCAAAACTCACAAGCAACGAATTACCTAAACTCAATAGAAGCCACCAACCTCAAATCAAATCCGATAAAAGTAATTAAAGTAAAAACATCGGATTAGGGCCCTGAGTCTATGAAAAAACCTTGAAAATCATAAGTATTACACTACACTTTTATGCGTAAAAAATATCAGACTAAACCTAAGACAATCCTTGCTCCTTTGTGGCTCCGCCTCTGATCACAAGTTTGATAAACTCATTACTGATTTTACCAAACGTGAAAAATGGGTACCACATAATCATTCAATTCACGAGCCAATGACCAAAAAAAATAATAATAATAATAATACATATTTTGTATGGTTGAGAATACGAATTAGGTTGGAATTGGGTGGTCCTCAAACTGGACAGATCTATAATTTTCTCCTTGATAGGCGACTAGAGGTTTCATTTGCTTGTGATTCCTCGAGCTCTTATTAGACAAACACAACTCCATATTCACATGGATAAGATAAAAGTAAGACAACAATAATACTATACTATGCACATATTCACATAGATAAGACAAAAGTAAGACAACGATAATACTATACTATGCATTTGTTCTTTTACTAAGGAGAAATTATTGGTTCAGCACTCCAAACCACGTCAATCGTCCGACATCTCTTACTAAAAGACCTGACTCATTCTATTTGGTCTCAATTAAGTGCGGTACCCTATATACACGTCCACACAAAAATTTCTTTTGATTAAGCTTCATTCTTTCGTCATAGAATCTAGAGCTAGCTTCCTCCCAACTCTATTCTCCCAATTACCCTCTATTCTTTACTTGAATTGAGAGAAATGATAAGGGGATTCTATGCATTCACTCTCTGTCATCTCATGGTTTTAGCACAATATTTTATAATGTTGAAGCGAAAATTGACGTTAAACGGTAAGGTGACAGAAAAAGCAATTTAAAAAAAAAATTGCTTTGCCATTTCTCCTTGAACTTATTTGTTTCATCATTGATGCCCATAATTTTGTTTATGTCCCTTCTGGTATCATTGCGTATAATTGCTGGCTGAACTAATCACTTTCTTGATGAATTATTGAAGCAATTAACACAAAACAAGGCATCAAAACGTCACTCCAACGAATAAAATAAATAATAAAATGATGCATAGCACTGTGTCACATGAAACTGGGTCCTAAAATCTAGCAAATTGGCAAATATTCCAAGTTTCCAACCAGTCTGGACCAAATAATTGGTCCGGTCAGACTACCGCATGTGATTTTTTAATCATTTTGCCCTCAATTTACAGCTAGGCTACCAATTTAAATCAATTTAAAACTTGGTAGGCCATTCCAATATGTGAACATCACGTTTAACAAATTTGAGCTGGGATTCAGATTTTCTTGCTATCGCGTTTATTTATTCGGAATGGACAAAATCATGAATTGAGAAAGTTATGAACGCGAAAGAAAATGAAAACGTATGTAATCAACCAGCCCTAACCAATCAAAATCCTTAATTGATAGACTTTTTCATTACGAGTTTTCCGGTGTTCAATCTCAGTTTTTGTTGTGAGACACTTCTAGTTTTAGTTTCGTACAAGCAGTTAGAAATCAAAACTTTATGATCACGTTCTAAATAAATAAACATGTCATTAGACCAACGGCAAAGAAATTAATATGAACAGGCAAATACAAACACAGAAATTGAAATCATAAAAAGAATGAATTAATACAATTATACAAGATGCATTGCAAAAAGAGTCAGGGTTTTGATTCGATTTGAATCTAACCCTTCATCCTCTGTTGATGAGGCCTATCAAAGGCTACAAATCATCATCTGTACATAACACATATATCCTCTCACTAATCCCAGCATTAACCCCAGATTACAAAATCGGCTTGTAATCCTGTGTTTTTATTTATTTCCCAGTACAAACACAACAAAACCATCACCAATTTTTTTTTTTTCATTTTTTTTTTATTAATTACTGGATTAATTTTAATTGCCACTCCAGAAAACGACCTGTCGTTCGACACCCACGATCAGCATTCGTTGACTGGGCAAGGGAGCGAGGAGGAAGAAGACGACGGAGTTGATATGGACGATGAGATGCTTTGATCATTTGGGCAGATCAGATAAGGCCTGAGCTTGTTCTTCCACATCTCCTTGAACGGGGCGGCGTCTCCGCCCGTCCTCTTGGCCTCCACCACCACCAGATTATCCGTCAATCTGTAAACCTCCACAGCAATTGATAAATTTCCATTCTGCCCTTCCATCTCCAGTCCCCAATCCTTCTTCCTCCTCACCCTCAACTTCTCCGTCTTGGCAAACTCGGCCACTCTCTCCATCACCTTCTCCACCGTCTCCTCCGATATAAAGCGCTCGCCGTCCTCCGCAGGGCTGCTGCTCGACGACTCGAACAACCCGGACAGGTCCAACCCGGCCGAGAACGAAATCAAATCGAACGCGTTCAGGCTCGTCACGCCCTTCTGCTCCTCCTCGCCGCCGATTTTGGCGTCGTCCATCGAACAATCGTCGTCGTAGAATTTGATCTCCTTGTACCCGCCTTTTCTGAACCACGGGTCCTTCAAAATCTCGTCGATCGTAATCCGGGTCGCCGGGTTGGTATCCATGAGCCGACCCAAAAACCGCTTCAGATCCGCCGACATCCATTTCGGGCACCGGAACTCGCCCTTGTAAATCTTCTTATACATCGCCATCAGATTGGGGTCGTTGAACGGCAAATATCCGGTGTTCAAAACGTACAGTATCACACCGCACGACCACACATCCACCTTCGCGCCGTCGTATCCCTTCTTCGTCAAAATCTCCGGCGCCACGTAAGCAGGGGTCCCGCAAAGCGTGTGGAGGAGCCCGTCGGGTCGGATCTGGTCGGCCACGGCGCTGAGCCCGAAATCAGAGACCTTCAAATTCCCGTTCTCGTCAACCAACAAATTCTCGGGTTTCAAATCGCGGTGGTAGATCCCGCGGGAGTGGCAGTACCCGACGGCGGAGATGAGCTGCTGAAAGTATTTCCGGCTGAGATTCTCCGAGAACCGCCCCTTCGACACCTTGGCAAAAAGCTCACCGCCTTTGACGAACTCCACGACGAAGTAGATCTTGGTCTTGGAGGCGAGAACCTCGTAGAGCTTGACGATGTTGGGGTGGCGGAGCCGGCGCATGATGGTGATCTCGCGCTTGATGTTGGACATGAGGTTGGTGCCGGTGAGCTTCTTCTTGTTGATGACTTTCACGGCGACACTCTGGCCAGTGAGAACGTTGCGGGCGTGGTAGACTTTGGCGAAGGCGCCGCACCCGAGGAGCTTGCCGAGCTCGTACTTCCCGAACAGGGCATTGTCGGGGATACGCTGCTGCTGCTGCGGCGGCCCAGGCACCAGCAGCGGCTGTCGTTCTTCGCTCCCCGGCATCATGGGATGCCGAGATGAGATCGAACCGGGGTAATCGTGTCGGTCAGGGCTGTGGGTTTTGATAGCTTGGAAGAGAGAATTTGGGGATTTTTATTTTTGTCAGGAGGAGGAACGTTGGGAGTTTTAATTGGAGGAACGAGGAGGAGTGGGAGGAGAGAAAAATATGGAGAGACTTTCGGTGGAAGCATTTTAACTTAAAGGGAGATATTTTTCCATACGCGGGAGAGTAATTTTATGGTTTTTTAGTTAAATAGGCAGCTTGTCATAATTATTTACTGTGATCTCATAAATTTAAAATCTATAGAAATTGCTTCTGTAATTAATTAGATAACATTTTGGTTCTTCTGGAAAATTCTCTATTAGTTTGAAAAAAAAACCACCCATTCAACGTTTTTGGGGTAACGATAGGAAGATTAAATTTAGAGATTAAATTTACAAAATAAATGACGTGTCACTAATAAAACTGAGCATGTTTATCAACGCTCAAGTAATAATCTAATGTCATTTATTATTTCGGTTTTATGGTATTCCTCTTCACTTATAAGTGAGAGGTATTAAGTTCGATTCTCGTCAAATGCGAGTTTGAATCACATTATTCCTAGTTCTTTGTGAGACTAAACTCATCTCCTTCCCTTTAGTATAAATAATATTATTTGTTAAAAAAATAATAATCTAATCATCTAATTTCATATTATTTAGTTTACAAATTTTTATTTACGTATTTAGTTTCTCTCGCATTAACTTTATTTAAAAAGGACACTTTATGTTGAATTTAAATCTCATGAATTAAAATAAGAAATTATGTGAATTTTAAAAACTATTTTAAATAAAAAAAAACCTGATTTTATTTTTTATACCAAACAATAATTTTGTTCGGTTTTTATTTATTCGGGGTTTGCTGCGAGACCAAAATTAAAAAATAGCAAAAGGCGGTTTTTTGTTTGAATTTGTTTTATTTTATTAAGAAAAACAAAATAATATTTTTTTAATAAGTGGTAGGCAGGACTTGTCTGGAAAAGTGATTGCCGTACACGTGTTGTAGGTTTTGTGAATAGCTTGACGAAGGAGAGAGAGGGAGGTTGGGGGCCCAACACGGCAGTTCTGTAGAATACTGACACGTCGTGCCGTCCGCGTTAGTACGTTAACTCCAACGTGCACGTGAAAAAAAAAAAAAAAAGGTGCCTTCGGTAAGAACACTTGCTTGGCTACCTCTCCACCCGCCGAAAGATAGAATATTTACACACGTGTGGAACTGTAATTCCAAGGTAAATTATTCTTTTGACGCTTGTAGGAAGTATATTTTTTTTAGGCTTAGAGACACGTTTTGCAATTTTTTAGGGTTTTAAAATTTCAACGCTTAGTTTTACACGTGAAGTGAATTTGACCTTGTAGTTCTAATTGTATTCAAACCTATTGTTTGCTTAATTTGTATTCGAGAACAACTCGAGCTCATCTTGAAACCTATTGCTTTTGGGGAAGTATATTTTTTTAGGCTTATAAACACATTTTGCATTTTATTTTGAAAATTTTAACGAAAAGCTTATGATGCTGTTGATTTTGACTAAAAATCAAATTTTTACACTAAAAAAATCAATCTTGGTGTTATTCACTTTACCCTTTATTTTGTCATTATTGTTAGAACTCAAACTTTTCAAATCGTTTTCATTAGTTTTCTTTTTTATTATTTTAGGGTTTCGATCGAGTTGCTTACTAGGGAAGGGCCAGGTTCGAGTTTTTCTTTTGTGGTCCTCGTGTGATGGGAACCAGGCAAACAAAGGGTATGAATGTGATTAGAAAAACTATTAGGTTAGTATTTTTATTAACTTGTACAACTCGTTTGATAACTTTTTTTGTTAGTTGGATCAAGAAGTTAGATGAAAGATGGTGGGAGAAATTTAGAAGAAAATACAAAGAAAGACACACAAAATGATAGCCAAACACCAAATACTTTTTACGATTTTATTTTCATTCCTTAATTTTTATTTGACTGCGTGACAACAAAGGTTTTTGAACTCTGCCTCATATTTAGTTTTTGTTCCTAAACTTTCATATTAATTTCTTCCGTTCTCTAACTTAACTTTGTGTTGCATGAGTGGTCATTCCGTCAAATTTAAGAGTGTAGTGGTCTTTTTATACATAAAAAAAATTTAATTTATTTTAAAAAGCGAAAAGCTTGTGCTTATAATCAGGACTATTTATATTAAAAATCACTATGTAAGATCATCTCTACAAAAATCAATTAAAACTTAGATCTTTTAGTCAATTCTTAAGGAGTTCCAATCATAAGCACAAAATTCTGTAAAAAAGTAACGAGGTATTTTATAGAGGAGTTCTTCCTCAATCTTTGAGGAGCCACATCTTTCTCTTTAAAAAATTATTTTTTATTTTTATATTGTGGATAAAATTTCTACTTTATCCATCAACTTAACAGAAAAGTTGACAGAGTTAATGAAAAAACTACTAGTACAACACATGACATAATTCGAAGACTGAAGACGAAAGTTAAACTCGTGGTATAAATAACCTTTGCTACAATTTAGCCTTTTTATTTCTTCCTTCTCTTCATCACCCTTTTTCATTCACCTTTCTCCTAAGACATAAATAGTTGATTAAAAGCTGAAAACCATTAAAATTTTAATTTTATCCAAAATTTTCAAACCATACGTTTATGGGTTCAAAATTAATGATGAAAATTGCGAAAATTTTCGAATACGCTTTTAAAAATATCCAAAATTTTAAAACCATACATTTACGGGTTCAAGTCAAATATTGAATTATATAATGTTAGAGTGGAACACACTAGAATTTTTCTGGACCATGTAGGCAGACTTTAAGGACAATCTTATCCGGTATGTGGTAGAATTTCTACCGTAGAAAGCATGAGAACCTTCTTGGATGAAGGTTTAGGTGTTGGCCGTCTGGGTTGCATGTTTCCCACTGTACAAGACCATTTGAAATGATGCAACATATTTTGAATATCGATCTGTAAAGGACAACAATATGTGTCCCCCTACGTGGCATGATGCATTAATATCCCGTGATACAATCTAGGACGGTCCTGGCCTGTGGATGGATGTCCTTAACCCTCCTAATCTCTCTACTCTTTTATACCTTTTTATTTAAATGATCACGATTAAACTACGTCAACATCATATATTGATTTTTTTTTATAAAGATAATAAGACAAAAAGCAATGTATGAGATGAGGGGATGAGAATAGGAGAATAGAGAATTCTTCTCTATTTTTTACTTCTTGCTAATGTTAATGTTAAAAGAACAGTTTCAATCATGGAATTTTAACGGAATTGATTAAAAATTTGAATAAAAAATCAATGAATAAATGATAAAATAGATATTTGATAGAAAGATATATTTTATGGTATTGGTTTACTTTGAAGTCTTTGCTCAGCCCCAACATTTCTACCTTGCCTCGAGCGCTAGGGAAGTATACAATGGACCAGATGTACCTGGTTGCAATTAGATGTAGGAGAGAAGTTAGTTTAGGAGCCACCGCATACGTTTAGGTAGGCAGCGCTTCGAGAAAGACCATAAATATAAAAAAGAAGGATTAAAGCATATGTTGGATTGCAAAAGGGAAGACTCGGGCAAAGCCCTGGATCGAGCTTCTTTTACGTACCTCGGGGTTGGATAATCTATCAAATGATGATTAAGTGTGGAGGTTGGTAATGAAGTTGTTATGCAACGCTTTCAAAACATAAAAACGTGTCGAGGGATAGTGGATGTATTGTATGAAAAATCTTATGGATTAATACGTAACTATTTTGTTTAGTGAATTCTTAAGTTGTTTTTAATTTGTTACTTTGTTGTTTAAGAATGCCCTATCTATACAGATTTTTGACTTCGTTTATGAAAACAATGTATGTGTCATAAATAGAAGTCGTTGAGAAAAATACTTTACTTATGATTATCAATTTATTCCAAATCAATCAATCAATACAAATCCTTAAAATTTCAATAAACCCAAAACGAAGAAAATATTCATACAATTGGGATTTCGTGATACAACCAAATGCGATTTAAGGTGCCTAACCGAGCTTGAATGCCGAATAAGTTTTGAATTAGGAGATATGAAGTACGGATGGAAAGGCATTTGAGTGTTTAATAAATCTTCAACTTTTGATAATTAACGTGCTTAACTTTTTTTTAAGAGAAACATGACACAAACAACACAGTTATGATTTGTGTCAATTCAAAAATAATAATTAAATGTCTCCTCATGTCATTTGCCTTAACTAGCATAAGGGTCAAACAAAATTTCTTTCTTTTTTTTTTTTTTTTGGGTAAAGCAGGACTTCGTTAACAAGAAGGAGTAAAACAGAGGAGCTACAAATGCAAAAGCTCCACTTCCAGCCGGGAGATGAAAAGTACAACCTTAGCATACAGGGAATACAAGAAACCCAGATAGAAAAGGAGATACTGTCAAAAGCCATAAAAGGCAACCAAAAGGAGAGGAGGGTCAAACAAAATTTCAAAGAATGGATTTTAGATGTTATTGGAGCAGCAGGCCTGCCCCACGATGGCTTCGTCACTGCCTCTATCACTAAGAAAGTGTTTACATTTTTTAAATTTTAACGAAAAACTCCTGATATTGTTTATTTTAACGAAAGCTTATATTTTTACATAAAAAAATTAATCATGGTATTATTCACTTTACCCTTTATTTTGTCTTTATCGTTAAAACTCAAAATTTTCAAACCATTTTCATTAGTTTTTTTTTTTTTCTAGCTAGATTTTACCAAGTAGATAATCATGACATGTCACCCACTTTGGTTGCTTAACTTCGATTAGTACTTCAAATACAAGCTTATCCAACAATTAACCATTATATTATATTTCATATATTATTAAGTTGCTAACACTCTAAAAATTCATTTTGCACTTTTTAAAAGCATATATATATATTTTTTTTAAATATAAAAATTCAAAATAAAAAATAAAAAGTTAAAAGGATCAATAACAATTTTTGTATATTATATTATATTCCAATGTCAATAACGAGTTGCCACGATTAGAAACAAAACCTTCTTCACGTCAAAGGCAACAATGACAAGTTTTTTCTTCTTTTATTTAACAACTGTTATTATATACATTAAAAGAAAAAGAGTGAGTTTGTTTCAAAATAGACTAGCAATAATATGATTCAATTTACCTTTGGCTCATAACACCTCTCGTGTAAAGAAGAATAACATTATACTGTAATACTAAGTGACAATAACGACAGGGTTTACTAAGTTAATAAATATTTGATTTAAATATAATACGACTAATTAGCAGAAATATTGAATGGCTAAAGCACCGTGACCAGATGTAATGTCAAGGGTCAATTAATTGGGACCAACGGAAAAATTGAACGGTTAAGAATTAAACGAGAGCTTTAATTTATTTTGAAATGCATGGCTGCCATTGATCTGGCAAAAACCAAACTAACGACTGGTCAGGAAGCAAACTTAGCTTATACTCCAAAGCTACAAGAGCCGGTGGATAATAGTCTGACAGAGATTAGAGAGCGTGGCATAGGCACTACAATCCCTTTCTTTAAAGAAAATTCATGTCCGATTTCTGTCTCAATCCATGAAGGTCAGATAGTTCACACCGCTATATAGCGTCACTCAATGAAGTTATATTAGACCACACAGTGATGGAGGGTGCATATTGGGACCAAGTTGGTTCCAGAATTACTTAGAGTCCGAGAAATATATATGTGAAGGTATTTCAAGAACTTTCTAAATATTTGGTACGTGTCATTTTGGTGTTCACCAGGTATTTGACGAAATGCCTCTTGCAAGTTGCATTTACAACTCTCGACAAATTCTCTCAATAGCACTCATCAGATTGCTTCAGCATATGTGAATATCTTTTGACATGTGTGAAACTTGGTTCGGTAGACGATAACAAACCCTACCAAGTGTTCAATGAAACGCTTCAGTAAATAAATTGAATTATTTTTGCTCGCTTTGCACTTTGTTTCTATCTAGAAAACTTAAACTCCAAAGTTTAAATTTTGGATTCATCACTGATACCACATATATCTATTTATCTTGTTTGGTCTCTACAACTGGTTGAAATGGATGATTAAATATATTCAAAGTTATGTTGAAGAATGAAACAAAAAAAATTACATCCAACTTGAAGGAATAAGATAAATTACTTTAAAGAAATGCCATTCTATTTCTCTTCAAAATAATGGTAGGATTATAAACCTTATTGTCTATTTATATGATAAACATATTGCACATTTACGTTTAAAATTACATGATCACATTTCTCCAATAACATGAGTGTATTATGCATGTATGTTGTTCAAGCCAATTCCTTCCAACAAGAAAAACTAATTCAAACTACAAACTAAAAGAAAGATATATGACTTCTTGTAAAATTTAATCTTAAATTCCATATTTTATGAAAAATAGAATATACAAATTTTGGGTCCAGATATACATTCCAACTTTACATGTACCCTCAATTGAATGTTGTAACCCAAAAGACAACAATATTAATGGTTTACTCTATGTAAAAACTAGGGCTCGTTTGGAAATACTTTTAAAATGACTGAAAGTATTTTTAGCGAAAATGTTTTCGGATTCTAAATACACTTTAAGTGCTTCATGCAAGAAACATGTAACTAATTCTTCTTGTATAAAACACTTACTTTTTCAAAATTTATTTACATTTTTATTAAGGATTAATTCATAAAATATTTTCACCAAAAACGCTTCAACGAACCCTTTACAAACACAAGCCATTGTATGATAAGAAATACAAAAAAAACATGAAACCTAAACAACCCTAGTCAAGGCAGTATCTCTAAGCAAAGCTTCTGCCGCTCTCTTTCCCGACACCAACGCCCCATCAAATGTGGCAGTCGTCCAATGGTCACCGCACACATACACACCCGACCCGACCCGAGGGTTTCTCTTCGAATCGAGCGGCGGACATTGGTTTGGTTGTGCAAATTTAATTCGATACGTTCTCAAGTGTCTCCAAGATCCCACCATTGATCCCCCAAACCAGCCAGAGAGCTCACGAACAACTTCAGTCGTCAGATCATCATTCGTCACATCCTCAAAACCTCCGACAAGTGATACCGATACCAAAGCTTTATCGGGTGGGCCGTAAGATGGAGCTACATTGGTTGCGAAAAACATGTTATTCACAATGCCCTTGCCCGACCCGTTAAGAAACAAAACCGGATCAGAAACCGGAATGTTGGCCCGGTCTGCAGTGAAATACAAACAAACAGTACTTCGAGCCGGTTTGGTCCGGACCAGTCCATTTATCCTTCCCGCCAAAAGCTTATCCGCTTCCGGTTGCTCAACTGCCACTATCACTCCAAGCTCGCTTCTCAAAACCTCTCCGCTCTCCAATCTCACCCTTGGCGACGAAGATTCGTCGCCGCTGAAATCAATCGAAGCGACTCGGGAGTTGAGAACGATCGAATCAGAGGGCAATTTCGCGGCCAATTGCTGTGGGATGGCACCAATGCCGTTGGATGGGAGAGTGTTGTCGCCGAGGGCGAGACACTTGAAGATGAAATTGAACAATCTGGAAGTCGTTTCGAGCTCTTTGTCGAAGAAAACGCCGCCGAAAAATGGCTGAAAGAATCGAGCGATGATCGAATCGGAGAACCCGATTCCCCTCAGCAGCTCCATGGTGGAGACCTCATCGCCGGAGGAGAATATCTCTTCGTCGGATTTCGTCAGAACACGAAATCTCGTCAATCCGATGAGCAATTTATCGGGAATGGATCCGATAGGGTTGGCGAGGGACTTGACAGAGTTCCAGAAATCCCGGAGGGGGTCGGCGACGGTGTGGAAACTACCGCCGTAGTAAATACGGGCGCCGGAGTAGAATTTCTGGAGGTCGAGGGATTGGTAGTCGAGAAGTTTCTGGGCTTCGGGGTAAGCGGTGATGAAGATTTGGAAGCCGCGGTCGAGAAGGAACCCGTCGACGACGTCAGTTCGGACGCGGCCGCCGACGGCGTCGGAGGCTTCGAGGAGGAGGAAAGGGGTGTTCTGGGAGTTGAGGTGGGTGGCGGCGGCGAGGCCGGCGAGTCCTCCGCCGATGATAATAACAGGGGACTTGGGGTTTCGCGGAAATGGGGATTTTGGGGGGTTGATAGTTGTCTGGAGAGATGATTGGGGTTTGAATTTGAAGCGGAGGAGTTGGGGTTTGGGGGAGAGGAGGGTGGTGGTGGATGGGAGTGGAAGAGGAAGAGTGATCAGTTTCATTTGTTTGAGTTCTTGAGGAAGATGAGGTCTGTTTGGATTGGATGATGGGAAAAATGGCTTATCTTGTGTCACACGGATTGAAAGGATAATCTTTGGGACTGTCTAGAGCCAGTCATTATTTCATTAATTTTCCTTTTTGTTCATTTCTTTTGATGGGAAAATTTTGGAAAAGAATGAATTGTTAGAGCAGTGCTTGTAGCTCAAAATAGTTAAATCGTATTCATTTATGCATTTGAGATCTCGTGTTTAATTCTTGTTCAAATGATTATGTACAACACAACACCCACCATTACACCCAGTTGCCTTATCCAAATGTCTTCTACTCTTATATATCTACATGTAAGAGTTAAGATTCGGTGACACACTATATTTTGACACATGTTTATGTGGAGTCCTCTCAGTAATGTAGTTCAAGGATTCCAATCATCTATCTTTCATGTCTTATCTCAAAGATCATGTCTTCAAAAAATCATCAGAATTCGAGATCATATGACCGTTGATTAAATTTAATGTTTCTTGTATATCCGTCCATTTTCTTTACTATTAGTAGTTTTGAATTGTCCTAATTTTTTTTGTAAAGATGATCTTTAAATGTTGTAGTAAAATATATACAGTTCGGGTCAAGGGACGAATATTTAAAAAAATATTTTCTACCCTTATCATTTGTCTATAGATTTTATAATATTTGTTTGGGTAAAGTACAAAAAACTACCTCAACTATTGGTATCACGACACTTTCATACCTCATCTTTTTAAAATGACAATGTCATACCTCACCTTACGAATTTGTGCCAATGTCATACCTCTGTCAGTTTTTCTGTTAATTTTTCTGTTAAGTGCTGACGTGGCTAGATACTGGGGCCACTCACTAATCCAACTGGATTAAAATATAATTAAATATATTTTTTAATAATTAAAAATTAAAAAAATAAAAATAATTTTTTTTATTATATAAAATTGTGGATCCACCCTCTCTCTCTCGCCTCTCTTATCTCTCTCTTGGACACCCGCCTGGCGCCTGCATCCCCAAAACCTTCCCACCCATCCCCCCCAACCTTCCTCCCCCTCACCCTTTCTTCCCCCCGCTCCCATCTTCTTTGCGCAACCTCTTCCTCCAAAAACTCTCCCATCTAGAGCCCATCGACCTCTCCGTCTCCCACCTCTGCTTTGCCACTCTCCCGCCTCGCTGCCCCTCCCTCTCAATCACCTGCCTCGTCGTCAACCACAACTTTTTCTATGCCGCATTGGGCCACGAGAAATGCCTTTGGATCTCCGCTGCGTCGAGCCTGAAGATTTGGCGGGACTTGGATCTCCGCTGCGTCGAGTTAGTCAAGGCACATGAGGACGCCGTGAATGCGTTGGCAGTGTCGAACGACGGGACCTTGTACACCGGGGTGACGGATTGTCGGATCTGGGTGTGGTCCAAACCGTTCGAGGAAGAAGGAGAAGACAAGAGCGGGGTGGGATCTGGGTTGGGTGGTTCTAGTTTTGAGTTTGGAGTGGGGTGGGATCTGGGTTGGGTGGTTCTGGTTTTGAGTTTGGGGAAGAGGGGGAGCGAGGGGAAGAAAGGGTGAGGGGGAGGAAGGTTGAGGGGGGACGAGTGCGAAGGATTTGAGGGATGTAGGTGGGTGTCCAGAGAGAGAGAGAAGAGAGAGGCGAGAGAGAGAGGGTGGTGGAGGAAGGTTGGGGGGGATCGGTGGGAAAGGGTCGGGGGAAGGGGTCAGGTGGGAAGGGGTTTTGGGGATGGAGAGCAGAGAGAGAGGCGAGAGAGATGGGGGAGAGAGAGATTTAATATAAGTTTTTTTTTTTAATTTTTAAAAATTTAATTATTAAAATATATATTTAATTATATTTTAATCCAGTTGGATTAGTGAGTGGTCCCCGTATCTAGCCACGTCAGCACTTAATAGAAAAATTAACAGAAAAACTGATGGAGGTATGACATTGACACAAATTCGTAAGATGAGGTATGACATTGACATTTTAAAAAGATGAGGTATGAAAGTGTCTTGACACCAATAGTTAAGGTAGTTTTTTGTACTTTATCCTATTTGTTTTAATGATACCCCATTTGTTTTAGCGGGAAATTCTTTCTTATGTCGCCTCTTCACAATTTAAAGGCCACACTTTTATCTTGCTACTAGAACTTATGTACTAAGAGTATACGATACCATAAGAATGTACATAAATTATTTTTTATTGTACAACAATTTAAAATTCATTCTGTCGTTACTATCATATTCATTCCGTCATTACTATCATATTCATTTCGTTGTTACTATCATAGGAAGACATTATTGTGAATATATTGATAAACAAAAATTAAAGGTACAATAAGTTGGAAGGAACATGAAGTTATTAGAAACAAAAAATAAAAGTTCACGAGCGAGAAATGATGACCGTAAACAAAGTGTCGCAAAACCATTAGAAACAACATGAAAATGAATGAAAAATGATGACCGCCGGCTCAAATTAACAATAAAGCTCAAATCTGGAAGATGGAAAATCTATTAAAACAACACCTGAAATAAGGTACATAATCCACCGAGGAAGAAATTCGTAGGTTATGATTCCCAATTACTTTGCCTTGGCAATAAAAAGCCCTTGTATTAATTCAACATCCAGAGGTTCACCAACGACTGCCCTTGAAGAGCTAATTTGTACTTCAACATGAATATCTACATCAGGATTACTATCGCATTTCATACTGCGTTCGTCTATCATGTCTGTTCATCATACACTGTGCGGTTATAAATTATTTTAAATATTTTTATTTAAAAAATTAAACACAAACAGTACTAGACAAAAACTGACCACACGATATGCAATGAACGAATACAATTTACGGATTCCCAAGATCCTCACTAAAAGAATCCAGAAGGGATCATATTGGTCTCAGATTTACTTTGTACACAAAATAATGTCACAATGCCGATTCCTTCACATTTGAACGGGTTCACTTATTTATTTTATTTTATTTTACGAATTTTATTTATTTCAACATGCATCATTTGGATGAGTTTAATTTCTTTAGTGGCCTCTTGACAATTTAAAGGTCACACTTTTCTATCTGCTGCAAGAACTTACACGGACAAATTAGGAGTATTAGATGCCATAAAAAGGCAAATAATCTTAAATGGCATCCACCCCCAGTAAGCCTACGGTGGCTCCATCCCTCCAAGGTGTTGTCAAGGCCGGTCCTAAGTTTTTTTAGTGCACACTGCAAAGACTCATAACGTGCCTTTTTTTAATACACAAACATATATTTAAAAAATATATATTTAAAGAGGGCTGGAACCCAGTCGAAGCTGGGAGGCTAGGCCCTCACGCCCAAATTATATTACTTGAGAAAACATACAATGGGTGGGGCAGAGTGTAAACCCCGACAATCAAAAGTAGAATTATATACAACCACTAAGCAAAACTCCATGAAATTTCAACCTTCAAGAAATCATCTTCAATAATTTCATAATCATGAGACTCCTCACCAACATTTTGTAGATGGAGGACCGGCTTTGAATGAATTAATTTAATTCATAAACTGTTACTGTTTGACAAAAGGCTTCTGCACGTTCCCAAGTAAAATCGCTCCTCCGACGAATCTCCAAAGAAGTCAAAGTTTGCATATGCATTTTGAAAGTCTTCTTCAGCTGTGTACCTGAAATTGGAGTTTTAAGAGATGAAGTGAACGTGTTTCTCATTTGATTGCCCTCAAAATTTGACATACATGACTAGCAAGGATTACGCACAAAGCATTCCAGCAATTTTGGCTGCTGCAAGGCCCATGCCGACGTCCACCACCACAGCTGTAGAAAAAGGAAAGATGTTATATTTTATCCTAGACAGTTGGGGTAGAGAATGCACATGTTTGTAGGAGTAACTTGTTTGCAACTTGAATTTTCTGCTTCAGGCTGCTCCCTTCATATCTGCAACGCACGGTTTATATAAACACGATTAATTCTCAAAGATAAATTTTTTATTTCTTTATAAGAAAGTGGCTCAAAGGAGACAGTCTTACCTTCAAGGCCCGAAGAAATCTCTGCAAAATGCTAAGGTGTGGAGACAACAGAGACAGAACACCATCAGGAAGAATGACCCAATGTACTGAGAAACTGCACTGACATCGTTATCATCATGGCATTCCATCCATGTAAAAGAATTTACTATTTTACAAGCAACTGAGAAACTTTGTTTTGCAACACAAATGACTCTTACGACATTGTTATCATCATGGCATAAGGACTAAAAGTTCATGGTGAATATGAATGGAGAAAACCTGAAAATGGGAAAAAATGTGTGCTTAGATTGTTCAATGTAATAAAAGGAGAAAAGCACACCGTATATACTGGAGTTGATTTTACAGACTCTCATCCCCAATAAAGCATCCAAATTTTCTTTCTTTCTTTAAAGACAGTACTAAGTCCATAGGACATTGTACGAACCTTCCATACGTGCAAGATGGGCTACGTCAATCTTTAGTAGTTTCTCCGGTTTTTACTATAATAATGTAGGTTACATTTCAAAAGGAGCATGAGAGAGTCTTTTAGAAAGCAAGTGAAGAAAGAGAGTTACAATTAGGGTAGTACAAAAGTTTTTTCGGCTTCAAAGCTCAAGCTCTCCCTCTATTCAACAGTTGGCTGCTTCTTGTACTCTCCTTTCACAGCAATGCAAGGCACAAAGGACGCCAGGAAGCCCAAGCTTCTAAAGACCCATACAACACAAAAAATCAACTGAATTCAAATATCTGCAAACTCTTAAGGATACATTTCGATTTGGTGATGAGTATCAACAAAGAATATTGACCAGTTAGAATCGAAAAGATAAAAGATTACCAATTTGTGTCCAAATTAGGATTTGATGATAAGGAAAGATGATTGAAGTTGAAGAATGATATTGATCCACGCATGAGTTGTGAATAGTATCCCAATTCTCCCTGTACAAAGATAAAACCAAAACAACTTAAGAAAACATAAAGAACAAATTTCAACTGATAATAATAAGCTTGGAACTATTACAATGAGTTTTAATTTTCAAACTAGTTCTGCTAATTAAAACAGATAGCCTGACATGACCGTAACATAAAAGCTTGCATACTTTATATGTTGCACTTTTCACAGCAGGAACACCTTGCCTCTAGCATTTTCGTTTCCTAGGCCATGAAAGTTTATATCCCCTGCCACTGCTGATACAGAGTGAGTTCCATGACCGAAAAAAAAAATTTCCTCAAAGACTCTCATGAGTAAAATCAAGGTCTAACGGGCTTGCTGTAAAATGAACATGTCATATGGTTTACAAAGTATTACCAACTACGAATGGCAACACAACTATAAAAATTGTGTTACGCATGGAACATGTATAAGCATATGCAGAACATTCTTGTTTATGGTTTAGTTATTGTTTGTTTTAATAAGAATGAATAGCAATTGAAAGTGTTAAATTGGTTTACACATATTTGTACAAGTGATTCGTACGTTTATGTCATACCATCTAAAGCATTAATCAGGTTTATATTCGAACACACCAACTTTCTCACTGAATCCCATAAAGTCCTGAGATCTTTAATGTTCTGCTAGGAAAGAGACAAAAATTAACAATAGTATCACTCTCGTAACAATCTGGCCAGAAGAAAAATTCCACTTTAAAACGTTTTGGAACAAAACAATGTGAATGATAATGAGAACTAGTCTGGCCATGTAGAACTAAAAGTGATCGACTGATGGTTGAACAACCAAGTCCGCTTCGATTTCAATGTATTTCTCAACAACAAAGTTATGAGCCAATTCAGAAGTTATATGCCAGCATACAATGGATGAAAGAAGGACCTGTTTGCATCAGCACCTGGACTTTGTTTGCACCTACTGCATTACATCGTTCCAGTTGAGCAAGAGTGTCATGAAAATGCCAAAGGATGCTAATAGAGTTATACATACCAATTGGAAACACAACATATATAATAAGTCAACTTAATTACTAGAAGAGAAAAGGGGGTGGAGTTTAAAAAACTTACATTGCTTAATTCACTGTGACAGTAAATTGGCGACACGTTGCATAGCTTTGGCAGAGGGTAGATTCATCAAATTCTTATAATTCATCTAATTCCCAACTCTACAAGGATGTAAGGTTACCCAACAGATCTGGCAAAGGCTCCACTCCCTCAAGTAGAGACTTGCATTAATTTGTAGCCCACAACTCACCACTTATTGGGAATAGGATGGAAAGCCGAGCCTTCAAACTGATAAGTATCGAACAAAGAATGTCGATCCAGTGTAATTAAAGGGATGAGTGCTTCCCTGTTTGTCTAAATTAGAAATGTTCGGTCAAGAGTTTCTACCAGACTACCAATTCTGCCTGGTCAAATATAACAACAAAACAACTTAGGAAATATATAGTACAGAACAAATTTTAACTTTTCAACTGATAGTACACAGAGCTTGAAAATATCATCTAGCATTGCAACTGAAGATTCTTTTATCTAATCTCTGCGATAATGAGGGTATTTTACAATGTAATTACTGTTCATACGATTAAAAAATCAGTTCAGATTTCACAAGTAACCATAAAAATATCTGTGCAATATCTTCGTATATAAGGATGATAACAAACAGAAAGAAATTTCAGCAGTTCTATATACTATATGAACATGATTTTACTTGGGTTCTGGAAATATTTGATTAAAAAAGATTCAATACCATGAACGGATAATTAAGAGGTTTGCTACCATGATAAGTATTATAACTTGAGGTATATTATTGAGAAACGAAGGTTGAGCGAGAAATTTGATATCTTGTGCATCAGTACCTGTACTCAATTTGCAGTTGTTGAGCATGACAAAAGAAATATAGATGGCACTGGAAAACATAACATACAAGTAAGTGAAAAGTCAGGAGTAGAATTCAGTTAGAAGAGAAGAGGAGGTGCGGATTAGAAAAGCTTACATGGATTAATTTCAAAGTGGAAGTTGGAGCCATTCGGACAAGTGTGGCCTTGCGCACCATGAAATTTGGTTTTTCGAATACAAGGTGCTGCCTACCTTCCCTCCAACTGTTGTGAGACTCAGAGAACTGATTTAAAAGAAGAGGGAGAAGGATAAAAAAAATTTGGTATACTAGTTTAAAGTTTGATGCAGTAGTTGAGACGAATAAACGAACAAAAGAGATATAAAATATAATTAACATGAACTCTATAATATGATTTCGAGAAGTTAAAAACTTACTTGTGATATCTGGAATGTGAGAAATTTTAGGCCAATCTATGCCGCTGTTCTTGGTGCATCTTTGCTTTAGAAGGGGATGGCATCCAAAAATCAACAGGGTATATAATTTGGTGAGGCATTGCATAGCTTGGACACGAGGCAAATTCATCAGATTCTTGCAATTCCAAATCTGCAGCTCTATAAGGGATGTAAGGCTACCCAACCATTCTGGCAAAGTCTCCACTCCGTCAAAGTTACGTACACACAATGATGTTAGAGAAGTGAGGTGTTGAATTTGTTGAGGCAGAGACTTGAGCTTAGGCCAACCAAACAAGTATACGCATTTTGAAAGTTTTCTTCAGCAATCATGTTTGACAAAAGGCTTCTGCAGGTTCCCAAGTGAAATCGCTCCTCCGGTGAATCTCCACAGAAGTCAAAGTTTGCATACGCATTTTGAAAGTTTTCTTCAGCTGTGTACATGAAATTGGAGTTTAAGGAGATGTAGTGAACATGTTTCTCATTTGACTAGCAAGGATTACACACAAAGCATGCTCATGAACTTTCTATCAAATTAGAAGTATTATCTGAGAATAGCAAGAAGGTGGGAAATATGGAAGCACTCTTTTTGTTCATGTATTAAAAGTTACCTACTTTTGGTTACGATACACTTCATTCCAGCAACTTCGGCCGCTGCAAGGCCCATGCCAATGTCCTCCACCACGGCTGTAGAAAAAGGAAAGATGTTATATTTTATCCTAGACAGTTGGGGTAGGGAATGCACATGTTTGTAGGAGTAACTCCTTGTTGGCAGCTTGAATTTTCTGCTTAAAATAACAGAGACTACTTCCTTCATATCTGCAATGCACAGTTTATTATAAACACAATTAACTCTCAAATAAAAATGTTAATCCTTCATAATTGCATAAAAAAGTGGCTCAACGGATATAGTGTTACCTTCCCAGCCCAAAGAACTCTCAGTAAAATACTAAGGTGTTGAGACAATGGTGAGCAACACCATAATAAAGAGTGACCCAAAGTACCCAATATGGACCTGCACTGAGCAAACTTTGTTTCAGAAAACAAATTACTCTTACAACACCGTTATCATCAATGGCATAATCGCTAATAAGTTCATGGTGAATATGAAATGGAGAAAACCTGAAGAAGGGAAAACATGCGTGCTTAGATTGTTCAATGTAAAAGAAAAGGAGAAAAGCACACCTTGTATACTGGAGCTGATTTTACAGGCTCTCGTCCTCAATAAAGCGTCCAGAATTTCTTTCATTCATCAAAGACAGTACTAAGTCCATAGGACATTGTACGAACCTTCCATACATGCAAGCTGGGCTACGTCCATGTTTAGCAGTTTCTCAGGTTTTTACTATAATTACATTTCAAAATGAGCACGAGTCTTTTAGAGAGTAACTGAAGAGAGAGAGTGCTGCCTACCTTCCATCCAACTACAGTCTGTCATCTTGTGGCCTTGCACACCGTGAAATTTGGTTTTTCCGATACACATTTGCTGTAGTTTAATAAGGTGCTGCCTACCTTCAACTCAACCATTGTATGATTTCTAGTTAACTGATTTAAAAGAAGAGGGAGAAGAATAAATAACTTTTGTTATGCTAGTTTAAATTTGTATGTAGTAGTTGAGACGAATAAAAGAAGAAAAGAGATAAACATGTAACATGAGGATTTCAAGAATTTTAAATCGTACTTGTGATTTTTGGAATGTGAGAAATCTTGGGCCAATCTGTGCCGCTGTCCCTGCTGCATCTTTGCTTTAGATCGGGATGACATCTAGAAATAAACAGGGTATGTAATTTGGTGAGGCGTTGCATAGCTTGGACACTTGGTAAGTTGGTCAGATTCTCGCAATTCCAAATCCTCAGCTGTGTAAGGGATGTAAGGCTACCCAACCATTCTGGCAAAGTCTCCACTCCGTCAATGTTACCTACCGACAATGATGTTGGAGAAGTGAGGTGTTGAATTTGTTGAGGCAGAGACTTGAGATTAGACCAACCATACAAGGATAAGCTTGTAAGGTGCATTAATGATCCAACTTGAAAATCAGGGAAGGAATCGAGCTCCTCCCAGAACCCACCGACTTCCAATATCTTCAAGGGCGGGAGCTGCTGCATCTTTGCTTTAGAAGGGGATGACATCTATAAATATATAGGGTTTGTAATTTGGTGAGGCGTTGCATAGCTTGGACACTAGGTAAGTTGGTCAGATTATTGCAATACTTAATGCTCAGCTGTGTGAGGGATGTAAGGCTACCCAACCATTCTGGCAAAGTCTCCACTCCGTCAAAGTTACGTACAGACAATGATGTTAGAGAAGTGAGGTGTTGAATTTGTTGAGGCAGAGACTTGAGCTTAGGCCAACCCGTCAACTCTAAGCCTGTAAGGTGCATTAATGATCCAACTTGAAAATCAGGGAAGCAATCGAGCTCCTCCGAGAACCCACCGACTTCCAATTTCTTCAAGTGCGGGAGCCGTTGTAACCCCATCGGCAGATATTTTAGCTTTTTCCAATTTACAATCCCCAATTCACGGAGAGAATTGAGGTTGTCTAAACTTGGAAGAATCTCTAAATTAGGGAAACCTTTTAATACCAGCGTCTCAAGAGAGAGTGGAAATTGCAGCCCGCTCACCCCACTTTCCAATCCTTCACATTCTTTAATCGTCAGTTCTCGAAGGGAGGTGAAGGTGCGCAAATCTGAAAAAGATTGTAGAATAATGCTGCTACTTTGGACACCAAACGATGATGATGCTACCTTTGGGCATGCACTTATCTCCAAATTCTGAAGAGACGCACATTGTTGTGGAAGAGCAGGTAAGCTTGATAATTCTTTGCAATTAATAATTCTCAAACGCTGAAGAGAGGACAAGCCGCCTTTAATTTCAATTGATGTCAGATTATTAAGACCAAGTATAATCAATTCCACGAGAGAGGCCCATACACTCAGTGGGCCTGATAGTCCATTACATTCCCAAATATACAAACGGCGAAGACGTGCAAGGGTGTAAAATGGAAACGATGTTACACCATTGCAACCTTCTAAATGCAATGTTTGGAGAGAGGTGCAGTACTCTAACCCACTCGGTAGGCTTGACAATCGTTCACAATGCGTAATGTCTAAGACCCGAAGAGATGTCATGCCCTGTGTAATTGGAATCAACTCTAGACTAGGACACCAGTGAACTGTTAGGTTTTCAAGATGAGGGAGTGTGTCTAGCCCATCCGCCAAATGCCTTAACGTTTTACAATTCCAAATTTTCAATATCACAAGAGAGACGCAAGAACCAAATACATCTGAGGCAATACAAGTTAAATCATCGCAAGCACTTATCTCTAAAGATGAGAGATTATTGTTGTTCTTCAACATCCCTTGTGGAAAACAAGTAAGCTCCTTAATACCTTTTATTTTGAGGGAAGTGAGAGTTGTCAATCCACTGCTTATTTCTTCTATTGGCGTTCTGCTATCACATGAAATTATCTCCAAATTTTGGAGAAATGGAAAATGACTTGGAGCATTTCTCAACTTGGAACAACTATCGATGGTCAACTTCTCGAGGCAAGGAAAAACCACTACTTTCTGTGTTGACATTGTTGGTGCTTCCTTCCATTCAATTAGATCACCACACCTAGATATATATAATACTTTTAGTGCAGGAAATAAAGTAATTATCTCCTTACTTGTCGTGGCTACATTGTGGACATGATCATAACCGTAGAACTCAGCTCCAACACATTTCAAGTTAGCCATTCCGCTAATCTTAAGCTCCGTAAGATTAGGTAGATGACCAAGCGGTGGGACTTCTTCACATTTGTCGCATCCAAGTAATTGAATCTTCTTCAAGTTGTTGAGCAGTAATGACCTACTCATCATCCACGATGGAAACTGATCGCCCACGAAATTTTTAATACTTAAGCTCTCCAACCCAGAATGCGGTCGAAGGCCTTCCAGTACATCCTCATCCTCATTGTTGTTGGTTATTGACCTATTTCTTGTCCATTTGAAGCTTAAATGGCATACTTTCGTCTTATCCTCCAACTTAGCTTTCTTTGCTTCTTCTCCATTCTTCACGTGCTCCAGATTACAAACAATTAATTCACCTCTCAATTGTTTCAAGTCAGCCAACTCTTCAATTTGACGACCAATCTCATTACCCACCGAAAAGTAAGGTACTGTTCGAAGGCAAGTCAACCGCCTTATCCCTTGGGGAAATTTCGTACTCTGATCAAAATAAATATGCCTCAGGTTGATCAAACTTTGCAGTTCTTTTGGAAACTCTTTAAGGGCACAATTTGTTGCTCTTAACGTCTGTAGGTTATAGAGCTTGCCTATAGAGTTGGGGAGTGTTGTGAATCTTGTTTTGGAAATGTCAAGATACCTCAAGTGTTTCAGCCTTCCAACTGAAACTGGAAATTCTTCAAGATTAGCTTTACACAAATTTAAGACACGTAAAGCTTTGAATCGTGGAAGAATGTTACTGGGAACTTCACCATCATCAAAAAACAACGATCGCAATTTCCTAGCACCTCTTTCTAGAATGTTTTCTAGTATAAAAGTAGAAACCCGAGCAACATGTCGAATCTCAACTGCATTACCAGTGTCATGTAAGTCTTCCGTCAAGATTTCAAATTTGGATATAAGCTCTGCCAAATCGTGCACAAGATCATGCATCTTGCATTTGTTAACAATGCCATTGTCACTCATTGAAGCATCTTGAAATAAGGAGCTCTGCAATAGGATATCAAAATATTCATTGCCTACGTCTTCCATATCTTTACTTTCGTCAGGTGAAGGGTGGAGTAGTCCTTGAGCCATCCAAAGTTGAATCAAGTTGTCTCTTTGAATTTCAGAATCTTTTTTGAACATTGAGCAATATGCAAAACATTGCTTTAGTGATGGTGATTCTAAATTGTCAAAACTCAACTTCAAGACTGGCATAATTCTATCTTCTCCTTTGGGTAAGTTGTCCCATATTTTATTGTCTTTAAACAACGACCATTCTGCAATACTTTTTTTAGTGTGCAAAATGCTTCCCAAAACCTGTTGATTGGATTAATGAGTTTCAAAGGTGTCATAAAACAATGTAGAAAATAGGGACTCATATAAGATAAGAAGTTTTTGTTTACTTAATTTTGAATCCCCTTGCCTAAAAGGGAAAAATCTAATGTAATAAGTATAATTCTTAATAGTGTGCAAAATGATATTAGTAGTTGTTTACTTATTTTTGGTGTTTGACAAAATTTCTAAAATACCCATTTAGTAGTTGTTACTATGAGAAGGAGACTCAAGGCAAAGGGGTAGAGGAAGACCTAGAAAGACTTTGAAAGAGACTATATGAAATGATATGGAGTACTTGAAGCTAACAAAAGACTTGATGCAAAACCGAGCGTAGTGGTGTTCTAGGATTCATACAGCCGACTCCACTTAGTGGGAATGAGATAATGCTTGGTTGTTGTTGTTTTTGTGTCCATTAGTAGTTAAAAACATGTTTTATTCTTGATTTGTTGGGACAATGAATTTATTTTATCTAGCTTATGTCTTGTTCGGATCAATAAGTTGCTAAAGTTGGTTCTTGAATAAGAAAAAGCTAATGAAACCACATTTTTATATACCATCTAAAATACAAGTGATGTGTACATGTCATATCAATTATTGATTTTGGTGAAGTCTTTACACCCTCTAGAACATCAATCTACGTAAATTGTACTTTCAAAATTCAAACTCAATTCAACCATCTTGCAAATAGTAAGACTAAAATTCGAAGGGATTGGATCAGTTTGTTTGCTATCAATTATCAATGAAATTGAAGTTCTTTTAGTCATCTATATGTATTGAACAAATTGACGATGTTGGTACCAAGTGAAATATGCATGATATCGGATAGCTAATATCTATGATTTGAAGTGAAATTTTGTAATGAACATCTTTAAATGATGACTATGAAAATGAATAGTTCTGATCATGAAATTTGTACGATCAAAGTATGTTCGTCACAAGGCATTGTCCTAATTTATAAGGTGGTGCACCCTATGGGTTGAAGGCGAATATTATCCCAACATATAAATGAAAACATGTAAAAAAAAAATAGGTGCAAATAAATGATACATAATAGTACGCACCTTTGCCACCAATGGAACACCACCACAATTTTTAGCAATCTCCTTTCCAATTGTCTGGAATTCATGAGCTATATGAGCACTGTTACTGGGGAAAGCTCTATGTTTCATGATGAACCAACATTCATCCACAGAAAGTTTTCCCAAATCATGTCGCGGAAGTAGTTTTTCAGATACTGATGCAACTTTGCCACTGCGAGTAGTGACAATAATTTTGGACCCCTTAGCAGAATCAAGCTTAAATAAACATTCCATCAAATTCTCCCATTTTCTAGAGTCGTCGTTCCAAACGTCATCAAGTACGAGTAAGTATCTTTTGTCTTTCAACTCTTCATTAAGGAACTTAAGCAGAGCTTCCTGGTTATCTTTTGAAGAAGGGACATTTGCTGGTTTAAGTTGTTCTAACATCTTGAGTAGAATTAAATGAACATCAAAAGTGTCCGACACACAAACCCATATTCTCGTTTCGAAATGCTTGTGTATCAAATCCTCTTTGTAAACTGACTTGGCCAATGTTGTTTTTCCGAGGCCTCCCATTCCCACGATGGCCATAACCACAAGATTTTCTTGATTGTACTTGAAGTCGGTCAAGGTTGTGACTATATTCGACACAACCTCTCCCCTTCCAACGGTTATTTCATCTCTGCCAATGAGTGAGTTGGTTTGTCTGTCCCATCTAGCTTCCTGAGGGTTTGCATCTATTTTCTTGGAGACTAGACCAATGAAAGCTGCCTCACCCTTGAGAACTACCAAGGATTGGTTGATCTTCTGAATTTTATGTGCCATTTTCAAACGAAATGCAAGTGGATTGGAGAGTGAAAAGAAGTTGAGTACCTTTTTCTTCATATGATTTTGGAGTTCAACTTTACGGCGAACCATTTCGTAGTCGAACTCATCCATCAGATCGTCAGCATCATGAGCTATATCTTTAAGTTTCATCACCCACTCCTCCACCGCCTTGACCCGATCCTGTGGTTGGTCGGAAACAGCTCCCAAGAAATCCTGAATGGTGAGTAATGATTGGCGAAGCCGTTTGAGTTCAGCTTTGAAACCCCAAGCGAGACCGAGTTCTTGAGCAGCAAGTGACGCCACCTTCGATAGTATTCCCTCAACAGAAAAAGTAAACACAGTTTCTGCAAGCTTCCCTTCCATGCCGATCGAGTACTGAATGTTCTCTCAATTTTCTCTCAAGTGGATAGAAGGAAAAAAATGACGATGGCCGACTGCAATACACCAGATGTGGTTTTAAATACTTGCACAATATTTTTCCTTTCACAACTTGTGATCCAACTTTCTCATAATAATTGGAGGACATATTCGATCCTTTGCTTCTTAGTCAAGCGAAGGACATATTCAATCCTTTGTTTTATACTTTAAGCGAAGGACATATTCAATCCTTTGCGTTATGTTTTCATGTATCTTACGTTTTGAATTGAATTGATTCTTCGTGATGCCTTGAGTGTACTTGGTCATTATGAATTGCAAGGGCTTATATGTAAATAATCCATCATTAAATGACGATTGATGGCAATATTGCAATATTTTTGGCTTATAAGCTATGTGTCTATACTTTCTGGTTCATTTGTTCTTTCCTTCCTTGATGCGCTCTCAAGAATCTTACCATTTGCTAAATTGCTTTCAAGTTGTAACTCTTTTTTTCTTCATTCCTTTACTGCATGTACTGGTCCTTATGTCTCGCCACTATCTACGTTAACCTATGCGTTTTGGCTCTTTTTCATCAAATAATCATGAACAAGAATCATATGTTCGTAAAGAAACAAACATTTTTAACTTTATTTAAAAAAACAATAAAAAAGTAAATACTCCGAAAGAAAAATAAATAGCTATGCCAAGTAATTTACAAAGATTTTATTTCTTATTAAACAGACGATTACACACCATCTGTACATATGTATTTGACATATTCCAACTTAGAGGAACCTTTGACGTTTGACAAATCAAGTGGCGAGTAAAGGTTGCTTGATTTATGAACCAAATGGATTATCATATATATAGATTAACAAGTTTCTATTTAGTGGCGGAACTAGGATCCAAAATAGGCTGAACCACAAAAGATGAAGTTGCACCACAAAGCATGCAATAGCATTAAATTGTGCCAAGCGTATAAACACAATATTTTCGAGAATAATAATGTCCACCAATGAAAGATGTTCATTTGCAAGTTGTTGCAGACTCACAAATATAGTTTACACATTTTCTTTCTCAAATCTAATTTAACAATTGACGCAATGCCTAAACTTGGACATCAATATCATCAAATTATCATCACTATATATAATTCAAACTTGTTCAATAAAACAAAGTCATTAGAAGCTTAGAGTTGCGTAGAGCTTGTTCTTATATACTGGGCTCACAAAATAAAATTGAAAAAGGCCCATAATGATCTCTTGTGACAAGAAAAGCCCACAATTTCTTACTTGAAATTAGGTGCCCATTTTTCTTGCACCATAAAGTGAGACGATTTAATGTTAACCTTGTTAAGAAGTCTAAGTGACTAGGAGGGTGATAATGAGTTATGATTAGAATAAGGAGGATATATTCAATTGGGATTTTGAGGAATTTTATTTTTTTTAATGAATTTAGGAGATTTTCAATTAGGATTTTAAATAATTTTCTGAGATTCAAGGTGTATTTAATCAGGATTTTATGATAGTTTGTTGAAATCCTTATAAATCCAGGAGTATTCAATTAAGATTTTTAAAAAAAGTTTATAACATTTGTATTCAATTATAAATTGATTTTAAAGAATTTTAAAAAGTTGAGGAATTAGAGGAAATTAGAGAAATTTCGTAATCTATTTTAAGCATGTACAAATCTCACATCTCTCTTTGAGATTTCGAGGAAATTGAATCAAAATTTTATATGAAATCTCTATAAATCAATTAAACTCTATAAAAATCCATGGATTTATAAATTTATTAAAGTATCTCAAATTGCCCCTAAGTTTATGGTTCAATTCTCTTCGATATTAACGCATCGACACGAAAACGAATGTATGCAAATTCCCAGGGATCATGTACTTCCTCCTTAGCTGCGATTCTCTGAGTTCTGCGTATGCTCTGTATCTAGGTCCTTTCTCCATGGCATAGTTCTCGATGGTGAACCTCAAGGAACTGGATGTTGATCTGGGTTAGGGTTTTGGGAGAGATGTAGAACCCAGATGGGTTGCATGCAGTGGGTCCCACATTTTAAAAATAAAAAATATTTAAATAATTTTGTTTTTAATTTTTAATATTTAATTAATTTTTTTATCTAGTTGGTTGAGGAAGTGGGCCCGCCTCAAACCATGTCAGTATTTAATAGAAAAATTGACAAATATCTGACATTGCAACAAATTTGTAAAATGAAGTATGATATTATAAATTTTAAAATATAAGGTATAAGATTGTGGTTCAACTCATAATTAAAGTAGTTATGTACTATCGGCATGATCAACTATTATGAAAAGGAATGTAGTGGTAAAAGTTTCATGTTAGAAAATGTGCATGCTAATAACTGTTTGATCGATCTAGTGGCATATAATTTCTACTTCTATGAAAGAGTTCATGAATTCAAATATCATAGATGATAATTGTTGAATTATAGAAAACAGATTGCACGTTTTCTTTCTTATTTTTATAGTACTTGAAGTAAAACTAGTGTTCAAATTGTACGTGAGATACAGCGTGTTACAATTTTTTTTTTTTAATGGATTTTTCATTATCTCTACAACACTCATTGTGTGAGCAGAGTCAAGTGAGGGGGTGGGGGAGGGCGGAATAGTGAATCCATGAAATGTAAGTTTCTCTTCCAATGGGGAGTGTTGTAGACTTATCGGATTACATCTCCATTTGTAGTTAAGAATCTCTCCAAGTGTGGAGAACCTCCATTGATGTTCAGGCGCTACTATTTCCTAGCTTATCTAGTTCCATGATTATCCAGTTCTAGTTCCCCGAGTGTGCGGAAGGAGTTCATATTACTAGTCGTTGAGAAGAAAGTTTACAAGGAAAGAAACAACCATTCAATTACTATGAAGACAAAAAATTTCCAAACCTCGGGAGGCAGAAATGATCATGCATGATGCATCATCAATTATTTAGCAGAATAAGAACCTGAACATGGTATTTAACTTGATACATATTCTCCATAAATATACAGCAGCAACCAAACGTTATTTCACCAAACGGAATCGGTTGTATGAATTCTCCATACATATCGTAACATATATTTCATAAGGGTTAATGTATAAATATCTTCCTACACAAATTTAAGCCCTATAAATATCCTTTCTTTTTACTAAATAAGCATATGATCAGCTAGAAAAGTAGCTAGCTAGAGAGACTTTGTAACACCAACACAAACACAATAAATATCACAAAGCATATGATGATCATATTCATTTATTTTCATGGCATGTACAATTTGTTGCCACATTTACACCTCCAAGCCTCCGGGTAGTACTCCGCCATCACGGGCGTCCCGGGTGGCACAGACACGTGAACTGGCTTGCACGGCGTGCACCTGCCGCACTTGGATGTGCACCGAGGCGGCGACGATCCAGGTCCACTCAGGTACCTCCTAGCCAAGCTCAAAGGCATCATCCTCTGCTCCCTCATTTTGTCACCGTGCTTCCCAAATTCCTGCACCACATTAGTTAGTTAATCTCCCAAAAATTAGCAGCTATAACACAATTATGCCACCAACCCTTTTGCGCACACAGTTTTCTATTGTCTACTGAGACTTGTCACACATATATCCTTAGTGCTAACGTGCGCCCGCATAATGCTAATGTGCGCCGGCCCCCATAACAATTTTTTGTTCACGGGAGTGTAGATGTATAGAACATGGTTGGAGCGGGTTGGGCGCTGAGCACAGCAGGCGCAAGTTACCAAGATGCATTGGAGTTTTTAGAAGACGACAATATGAACAACAAAAGCTTTTTCTTTTGCTTCTGAAATGGCAAAGAAAAATATGGTGTCCCTCCAAGCCTAAAGCTGTGTGCTAAATTACGCCTGTGGTTCTGTGTGCTTCTTAGTTAGGCAGGCTGAGCCTACTACAAGACCATTTTTCTAACGATGGACCAGGGTAAACAGCAGCAGGACCACCCTGCCCCCAGTCAGTGTGGGCTACTTATCGATCACCACGGTGGCTTGATCAGTAATAATAACAATAATATGGTTCTATTTTGTCCTTTCAGTTTCAAACATGCATAGTTGCATATGCAGTCTTTATCAAAAACCCAGCTTGCGTCAAAGTTAGTCAAAGCTACTAGAGTCTTGTTGTAAGGTCACGATGATTGATGTGATTCGTATGGAGAAAAATAAATAACATAAGAAATACGCATTAATGCTAATTAAATGTTGGAGTATAAGATAAGGTAGCGATTCCGGCACTCTTCGTTTAACCATCTGCACTCCAAACACTTTGTAAGCGCAGAGGAGAAAGCTAAAGGAGGAGTGTTAAAATCACGGACCATAAATTATGATAGGTATGGTGGAACAACCTACCTGAAAATATGAATCGAGTTTAGCCGTGAAGGTACACGTAATATCTGCATTTTAGAAACAAGTAGATAAATTAAATTTGTTTAAATGAACATTAATTCAGTGAAAACTTCAATTTTGTAAAGAAGAAGAATATAAAATGGGAAATTAATTTGATTGTTGAAAACTTCACCTGGGCATGTACTGGTAGTGGAGCTGATGGTGGTGAAAAGTGCATAAATTGAGAAAAAGCTGATGGCGGTGAACCTTATTAGTCTGTGAAGTGCCTTCAACTCCATGAACAGCAAGATGAAAGCTCAAAGAAAATCCACCAATGACAGAAGAACACAGCAACTTTATCTGATATTTTCTGGGCTCTCTCTCTCTAGCTGTTTTTCTCTCTGGAACCCTTTTTCATATTAACTAAGTTCCCATGTTGCAACTGTCATCTCAGCTCTTAAGTGGGGGTGGTTGTTGTGGAGGTTGAAAAAGTAAAGGGATCGAATATTTAAGCAAGTTTTTAGAGAGAGAGAGAGAGAGAGAGAGAGCGAGAGAGAGAGAGAGAGAGCAAGAGCGAGACAGAAAAAAGAAGGGTGAATCTATGAGGGTCGTCGCATCCTAAGCATTGCCATGTTTGGTTGTTTGATTCTCTTGCAGGCTTTTCTCTACTGTCTTTCTACAATTCCCAAACCCAGAAATGTTAAAACAACTACTGCTCTGCTACCTTCTGCACCCCTCCTCTTTTCCACAGTCCACTCTTCCCCCTCTTTCTTTTTCCTTGTTTTTCCTCAGCCACCTCTCTCACTCCCCTACCCTTCTTTGACTATATCTTCTTTGGTTTTTATTATCTGCCCTCGTCCCTTTTCAGTTCTCTAATTTTTTTAATGCACCTAAGTTTTACTATCCCCTAGTGTCTCATTCACGAAATGAAAGAAAAGTTAAATATGTGTACAAATACACCAGTTAAAAAATTAACACAAAAAATCTCAGTGTGCATACTAAAAAAAATCTCTCTTAACGTGTATTATTGCTGTCCAAACTCATCAGGACCAAAATATTATTCTTACCAGAACATTTATAGAGTGGTAATATGTTCATCCCAATATCTTATTTCTCCACCCATCTTATATTTACACGCACCATAAAAAGTGAAAAAATACATCAACTCTTTTCCCACCCACCATTATTTCCAAAATAACCCTACATATTTGTTTTTCAATTTTTTTCTTGCTTTAAAAAAATTAGTACAAATTAAAAAAGAAAACAATTATCACTAAATGAAAATACCTAAGAACTCCAAATATCACCAGCAGCAACTCTCTCCCCAGAAAATTTGCAGAATTATCACTAATGACTCCCCAAATCCCCAACACCAAGCATCCCTCCTCTATCGCCAACCATCGCAACACCACCACGACTCGAAAACCGCTCCAGTACCCAATTTCTGTCGTTTTCAATTTGAATTCAGACCGCACAAGAGAGAGTGTGATTAAATTGGAAGAGCTTCACTCATAGTTTGGTGTTGCACTGGCTTTCCCTGACATCAAATTCCTCCAAATTCAATATATGGTAGGTATCCAAAGTGTTCCAAAACACCAAACACAATCGGAGTTCAACGAGTGTATGATCTGTGAGTCCCCTAATGTAATATGGAGTATGAGCTTCTCTCCTCATCTATCTCAACATTATAATAGTCATGAAGATTAACTTGCTCTACTCTTTGGTGAAGCTTGATCACACCTTCCACAACATGCACTTTATTGCAAGCCTTGAGGCTTTGCTTTGTCAAGTCCGAATTCACCCTCTTCCTGATAAGTTTAATGTCTAAAGTTTCTTCCCCATGAAAGCTTGTGGGGTTCATGGTATTTTTTTCTTTTTCTTATTTATGATATTTTAGGTTATTTTATTTTATCAGTATAACTAATAATTTGTTTTGTTTTTTTTTTTTTTGGAAAGTGTATAACTAATAATTTGCTTAAAAAGAATCAATATAACTAATAATTAAGTGGCAATATATGATTGGTTGGTCTTTAGGTCTTTAAAGGTCATTTTATACTAGGATAAATTTGTCAATAAGAGTATCATTTTATAGTGGGTGTGGAAATAAAACACTGGGGTGGGCTTAACAGTACTTTATTTACATTACATTATTAAATAAGATATCTCCTAAATTAAGTATATTATCATTTTTGTTTCTATCGGACTGTGAATTGAAGGAGTAATTTATTTAAAATTCGATGCAATTAATAGAGTATGAATGAAGACTTTGAACATGATAATAATATCATGTAACTCAATTGATAGTGTAAGGATGTTCAGATTATGGGGAGTGGTTATTTTTATCTATCGGGGATCCTTATGTAAGTTTACTTTCCTTGTTAAAAAAAAAGGTGTTATCCATGTTAGTCTAGAGTAATGTTATGCTAAATAAGAAAGATTGGTCAAGACCCTTTTTTTTTTTCTTTTCCTTTCGGTTGAATATTGCAAAATATACTACTGAATATTAGTAAAAACCACTTTAAGAATCATCTTGGAAACAAACCTATCAAAGATTAAATATCTTATACATGCAACAATAGTCAAGTGAAATAATAGTTGAGTTTACGAGTATTTGTTTTCTTTTTGAAGCATTGTTTTAAGTGCTTTGACTATGAAATCTAGCTTTGATCGACAAACATACTTGTGAAGAGTCGTGTGGTAAATTGGCAACTTGTAAAAATGGGTGAAGCATTATTATGCACCAACCACCTTTCAAGGCTTAGATGCGTTTGTTCAATTCACAACTCCGTTTCACCCCTGTTTGCTTTGGAATTTTGGGAAAAACCAAAAGTACACACTGCCTGTAACATGCAGCAGTGGACCTTCGGGATGAAGGGAAAGCATTTTACTTCTGGTCTATGGTGAGATCAAACTGTTAGCATCTAATCAAAGTGCCGTGAAACAATCCCAAGCTGTTAATCTGTGACACTTCTGGCCCAAAATTATGGCAATATGCCACTGAATCTGACCATCAAATTGGCTGGCCACTCAACTGGACCCTCCTAATCAATGAAAATTTTGAGATTCCAAAAGCAATCAGGTGTGGACAAATTGTCCAGACAAATCAGTAAGAAAATGGTGAATGTTTGGTGATGGGTTTTGAAATGCGGGTAGGAAATGGATAATTGACAGTTTACTTGTTCTTTCACATCGCTTATAACTTTCTACTTCTCTTATATTCCGTTCATGTTTTTTTGTAGGGTTATTATACAAAATGACCCCTGAGATTTGCATGATCAATAGAAATGGTCATTGAGATTGAAAATCAATTTTTGGTCATTCTGCTAAAAACGATTTTGGGCAATTTTCAAAGCTTTGTAATTCAATCGTTTCTTAACCAAATTCAACTCATAATACATCAAAATGAAGATAGGAAAGTGTATAATAAGACTATACCATTTGGAAGCCCAATGGTTGATGGAGATGGCCGGAAAATAGTCTGAAAGGTGACTCTGCGGGAAAACTGGAAAACTCGCCGGAAACTAGGTAAACTTTAAAGTTCATAACTTCTTCAATACTCAACCAAATCAAGTGATTCAAAAACGAAAATAATACTTCTTGACGAGACGAAGAGAATGGTACCTTTTTCGAAGACTAACTCGCTGTGGTTTGGTCGAACAACAGCTCGAACGTGGCTAACCATTTTCAAGTTAGCCACTTTCGAGCAGTTTTCCAGCCAAACCACGGCGAGTTAGTGGTAAAGAAAGATACCATGCTCTTCGTCTCGTCGAGAAGTATGATTTTTTTTTTTTGAATCACTTAATTTCGTTGAGTATTGAAGAAGTTATAAATGTTAAATGTTTGCCCAGTTTCCAGCATGTTTTCCAGTTTTCCCGCGTACCAGTCACCTTTCAGGTTATTTTCCGGTCATCTCCGACAATCATTGGTTTCCAAATAGGTATAATCTTGTTCTACACTTTCTTATCTTCATTTTAATATATTATGGGTCGAATTTGATTAAGAATTGATTAAGTTATGAAGCTTGGAAAATTGCCTAAAGAGTTTTTAACGGAATGACCAAAATCATGGATGATGGATAATCTCAGGGACCATTTCTATTGATTTTCAATCTCAAGGATCATTTCTATTGATCATGCAAATCTCAAGGACCATTTTTGTAATAACCCGTTAGCTTAACGGGTTGAACCCGACGTAAACTAATTAAACCCAATTCTTTTACAGGTCTAGGTAAACCCCTTTCAATACAATACTTGAAATTGAAAAAACATGGATATAAAAATAACAATAAAAATTAAACATAAATGAGGAAATTAATGGTAGAATAAGCTTATGTACTCTTGGAAGAGATAGTGAAATGACAGACATCTGTGTTTTTCTTTTTCCTAACATGAATTGCTAACAGACAACGATATAAACCATGAACAAATTATTCGACATATAACCTAATCTGCAGCCAGCCACTCGTAGCATACTAACGTTCCATTCTGCAAATTCTCAAACATTTCACTTAGCTAGGTGAAACGAAAAAAATGCCGAGAGGATAAATGGGTCAGGAATTATAAGTGCATTAGGGTTTTGAAACGATAAAAGTGGATGTATTCTTGCGCCATGAAGTAAAGACACTGGAAAAACCATATACAGAAACACATGTTCGATTTTATTATCTTACCCTAGCAATAAATTATTTGTTTCCAAGCGTGGGCATTTGGGAAAAAATGCAGATGCGGAGAAAAGGAAACTAACTTATTTTAAGTCTCTGCAAATATTGCAAACCTGTTCTTGTTTCTATGCTTTTGTTTCTGCTCGATAGGGTTCTGATGCCCTTTGCTTTCCCCCTAGCCTTCCTCTTTGCTAGTAGAAACCAAGTCCAGAGAGTCGTTGTCTCGCACATATGTATGTGTGTGTGTATTATATATCTCCATATATGTAGACCCACTTAGCCATACGTGAATATTTCAAACTTGAATTAAATTTGACCGTTGTCCCACCACTGCTAGGTTTAGGGTTTGAAAGAGATGTGTGCAACGCATTGGGTTAAATGAAGATGGACTCTCTTTTGAACAAAGCTGGCAGCCCTGTATTATGATTGTGACAGATGGGACTCTCTTTTGATCTGATTATCATAAATAATTGCTTGTGATAGTCGTTGTGGCTACTTTCTCCTATCAGGGACAATTTAGCGGCTACATTAGATATTTTGTCAGGATTCGATCTTATTGTGTGGTGTATATCATACACATACTCTAGCTAGATTTCATCAAACTTGTCATGGTTCAACTCTAAGATACGGTGTCATACATTCATCTCTAGTAAATGGTTAATTAGTGCCCACGATGATCATTCATAGGATATCGACTCTCAATTTAAATATAAAAAAATGTGTTAGGGATAACTTTTCATAAACAAATGCACGATTTTTAACTGTTGATACAATGTCAATCATTTATACATGCAAAACCTCTATTGCATTAACAACAAAGAATTATGATGAATTCGTGCATGGATGAAATTTCTCTTTAGATAAAACCCAACAGCAAATTGGAATTTCAAATTTACGGAGCTATTCTTTTTAATTTTTGGTCAACAATATGGAGCTATTCTGACTCCCTCTATTCACTCCAATGTACTGTGTAGAAGTGCATTAACGTCTCTGCATTTCAAATATTATTTATGAGAATTTTAACGAAATATTTTCAGTATGGTTTACTTTAAGAAAAATCATATTTTTATACTAAAAAGTCAATTATAATACTATTCATTTTATATTTTATTTTGTCTTTATCATTAAAACTCAAAATTTTCAAATATTTTTCATTAATTTTCCTATTATTTATTTGTACTCTCAACTACATACAAAATTACAGGGTTGAGGGTTCGATATTTATTTTCTTTTATGTGTTGTGTTGCGTCCAAACGGTTAATGATATTTGGTTAGAAAAGGCTGTACCATCTTGTATTGGAAAATAGGACCACTAAGGTCTGCCAAAACATATAACTACTTGAAACTACTAGTGTTGTAAAAAAAAATAAAAAATAAAAAACAAAACAAAAAAAAACGTATAACTACTAGTTGTTTATTGTCACAGAGAAGAACCCACCAAGCTAAACAGACAGTAACTCAAACACTTGTCATTTGACCAGCATGTTCTTTGAATTCAAACATGCTATTGTCCATTCTTATAGGTGTATGTGGCAACAATTAAACTATTTACACTCTTTTCATAAGCTTCTTTTACTCTTTCGGAGGAGTGCATGTAAAGATTATAGCAAATGAACTAGGTTTCATATATTATTACTTAAATGCTTCTTTCTCGCATCTCATATGATTTGCTACGTGAGGAGTGAGAAAGACTCATTAATCACTTACAACTGTGTTCTTTAGTAACACTAATTCAATTTTTTTTTTTTTAAATCAAAGTACACTAATTTAGTTGAGAGAAAGAATACAAGCGATGAGCGCAAATGAACTAGGTTTTATATTACAAGTGCCAATAATTTAAGCACTTTACTCTCCCTTACGTATCTTATGAGTTTGTACTAGTACCATAAGGTGATGCTATCCACGCATCTATTTTTACTTCTCACACATTCCTTGTTAATTTCTATCATTTGATCTTCTTTAGTTCATTCAAATCGACGGTTGAAAATTAAAAAAAATGTGTGAGAAGTAACAAAGAGTGTGGATAGCACCACCCCTAATATAATGCCGTGAGAACTATTAATTACTTGCGCCATATGTGAAAACAGCAAGAACAAACAAAGGGGACCATAACATATAGAATTTAATATTGATGATGGTATTGTCACTATTTTCATGTAGTATGGCAATACATATTACAAGGTGATCAGAGGATCCTAAGAGGGGACAAGTGGGATCATACATTTGCCATATGAAAAACGGTCCCCTACACTTCTTACTCAATTTTTATATCGTTTTCACGTTCTTGGCTCCATGCAAACTCCCCCAATTAATATTAAAATTTCAGGGTTTTGTGTTTGCTTGCATCTCTCTTTTTCTTTCTAATATTGTACTCATTTCTTGTCCCTTTTAAGCACGTACATGTTACCAACTCAACTATTCAGATAGATTCTTCACGTGATCATGCATGTCATTTTGACTGCTCTTCTAGTTACATTCTACACTTTACAGTTTCTAAAACAATAAGGCCCTCGTTCTATTAACTTTGATTTTCCTCATTGCCTTGCCTTAGAGTTCACTAGAAGGGAAGTTGCCTACCAATATAGGTTAAATCGGATCAAGCGAGATGAGTGTAATGAAATATTTTACAAAAAACTTGACTCAAAGTACAATTTCACTCATTTCAGTAGGTGAAAGTGGATGTGGATTACGCCATCTGTCAAACATACTCGTTCTTTTATACTTGAGTTCAAATTCCCTTTTAGTTCAGAATATCGCGTTTGTTTTTTAAAAACCAGTATATAATTTGGCTAAGGATTAATTTCATTCAATATGACAAATTGGTTAAAAAGAAATGTTCGATCTAAATTTGAGAATATGTAATTGAACTGTTGTTTAAAATTTGAAGTATTTAGACATACACTCGGATTTAATGTTTCTTAGTGAACAAAAATATTTCTATCACCTCAATTATTGATCTCGTGCACGCTTAACATCGTTAAGAGACACAGATGGTCATATGCTTCGCACATAAACACGAAATCAGTTAAGATAATATCAATAACAACCCACTTTTGATACCAAGTTACCATACGTAAATCAGCAACTCCAAAAATAGTTTTTTTTTTCTCGTTTTTTTACTCACTAAAACCGAAACCAATGCCTAAAAACCTAATTCACTAAATCCAGATTCACCTTGGTAGTTTTTGTATTTTTGTCTTTTTTTTTTTTTGGAACAAATGATATTATCTACACTAAAGGAGAATTGATGGACTTAGTCTCACAATGAGTTAACAATAATGTAATTCAAATTTGGTAGTTGTTAGTATCAGTTTAGTTCAATTCGTTAGAGTTGTGCCTTTGCATGAAGGCGTGGGTTCGAACCCTATCAGTGACTAATCTAACATCTAATCTAACAAAATCTATCGTTTGACAAAAAAAAAAAAATTAATAAGCCAAATCACCTATATTTAGTTACTTTCCTTAACTATACAAGTTTGCAGTACAACTTTTTCATATTTGTACCAAAGTTTCTGACAGCAAACTAGCTAGTGATTTTCTAAATTCTAATTAAATCGTTGATTACAAGTGTTGAAATACAAATTATAATAGGTTTTTCTCGGAAAATATATTTTGAAGAGCATGAATATGATAGTTTGTTGTAGTAGTGAGACGAATAAAAGAAAATTAATAAAATGTACAAAAATGATTCAAATTCTTGGAGTGCCACAAAGTGATGTGTGACTTTCTGGCACCCTCAAGAATTTGAATCATTTTTATAACAAACTATCATATTTATGTTCTTCAAAATATATTTTTCTGTGCGTGGAGCCCGACTCGTTTTCTGAGCACCTAGGAGTTTGTTTCATTTTGCGTGCGTGAAGCCCAACTCGTTTTGCATACCAAAAGCCCGTCATTTTTGCGTCCATGGAGCCCATGTCGTTTTGGCGTGCATGGAACCAACCTCGTTTTCCGTGTGCAAATATGTAGTAAAAAGAAATTAGCGTTCATAAGAAAGATAAAGAGATTTAATTTAAGAAAAATATAGGATTTGATGATAGGATGTCAAATGAACCCATTATTTTGTTTTAGTCAAATGATAGATTTGTTAGATTAGATGTTAAATTTGTCAAATGAATTCATCCTTCAATTAACCAATTTTTTGATCTAGAGAACTCGCACAACCAATTGTTTTTTTTAGCGATTTGTTTTGTGTGAGATCTGTTTTAAGGAACAAATAAGTTCTTTTTAAACCAAACTAAAGAGTGAATAGCTTGATTTGGTATGATTGTTGCTCGTTTTTCCTTTTGAAAGGGAGAATTAAGAAAATCGTATTGATTGTAGCTTTTTAGGGTTTTTTTTTTCACTTCAAATGTTTAATGTGGTGTTACCATTTGATAAAAAAAATTATAAAAAAAATGCTAAAACAACTTTCTTAAAATGAGATTTCTCTATGAACTTTCTGGCTCTCTATTATCTTATATTTTAACGTTAATTCTTCACGTTTTAAAACATTGTATGACATTACGTTGATCAGTCATTACTGATTAGTGTTCCTGCACGCAAAAAATTCTCTCCAGTCTCCACACACGGATCCATTCTCCAAACGACACCGTGTCGTGTTATGTACATCGTGTCTTCTTATTTCATTGTGATAATATACTCCGCACCGCGCTTTCAACGGTCAGGATTCAATCTGGGAATCCAAAACCAGCAGTAAACTTAACAGAGCGGACCTTGGGATGCGCGTTGACGCTGCGAGTCTCTCTGACACAGAAGTTAAAAGAAACTCGCGTGCGGTCCTCTTTTTTTTTTTTTTACAATTAACTTTTTGGTAACAACGTGCGCTTCTTTTGGAGCTTCTTTCTCTGAAAAATCCCAAATTATTAAAATCCAAAAAAAAAAAACAGAAAAAGGTAAAAAAATGCAGGAATTTCAAAGTGGTGGCAGGAGGAGGAGAAACAGTAGAGATTCCCGGTCTGGGTTTTTTGCACTTTTTCCCATAAATATTAATAATATTTATTAAAAATGTCACCAAATTTTGAGCCCTCACTCACATTTTCCAAGCAGTTTATGAAAAATTAAATAAACTTTGTTCTCGTATGAAGTCTTAAAATATGACTTACATTGGCTTCTCCACCAACCCAAACCCCGTTTTTCGCTGAGACTGGACATTGGAGAATGCAGAACAACGAGATAGCTCTTCCTCAAGACGCCATCGTTTAGCTGCCTCACTTGCTGGCTTGTAAGTTTCTTGTGAATCCCAAATGCTGTTGTTTTTATTGTGCATGTGCCCTGCTTCTGCTGTAGAATCGCTTCTGTTGATTTCTGGCTTTTGGGTGTTGTAAAAGGGCTTTTGGTTTGTTCCTGTTGAAATTTTTGGTATCTGGGTTCCGTTTGTTTTGGGGTTTTGATCCTCAGAAGTGCTTTTGCATTTCTGCTGGCTGCTGGGGTTTTTGTTGAGTATAATATTTTGTTGGTGGGTTTCTTCTAAGCCGGGTTTCTTGGATTTGGTCTGCCCAATTTGAGACAAGTTATATCAAATTGGTGTTTTTTTTTTTTTTTTTTTTTTAAATTTTGTGGAAGCAAAAGTGCTTTTAGTGAGATTGTTATTTGGATCTGCAGTATTAGTTTTTTATTAGGGTTTTTGAACCATTAAGGAAGGAAATGGAATTTGCTACTGCCAAACCCCTTAAACCCTCCTCAAACATATCTGATATTGTCTCCAAGTTTGCCAAAGTTTGCAAGTTGAGATCCATTGGTGTGTTTTCGGCCGAAAACTCAGATCAGAGCCAACAACCCAACAACCCCAACGTTAGAAATGCACACTTGGGTGAGGATAGCAGCGATGTGACGGAGGAGACGGATTGTGATGGGGTGAAAATCCATCCCCATCCCGTGGAAGTTACAAGAACAAGCGATAAGCTTGGGGATGTGGAGTTATCCAAGTTGTTTGACATTGTTTCGGCTTTGAAATTAGCTTATGTTCAGCTTCAGCAAGCTCATTTGCCCTATAACCCGAAGAAGATTGTAGCTGCAGACGAACATTTTATGACTGAGCTTGAAGCGCTCTGCAAGATGAGGAGCGCGTATAAGGAGAAGCAATGTATGAAGCTCAAGTCTGATCCCTCTCGGTTGGATATCCTGAAGAAGAAGGTTGAACTGAATGAGAAGCTACTGGACGAGTTGAAGTTTCAAATGGAAGTTAAGAACTCTGATATACTCTGCGTGCAGAAAGAGCTCGGGGATTTGGCTATGGCGAATGCGGCACTAGCTGAAAAGGTAAAGCAGGTAAGTTTGCAGAGGAAGAATGTAAGGGTGTGGAACATTGCAACATTTCAGGATGCTTTCAGAGCTGCTTCGAAATCCATTCATGATTTTGCGAAGCCATTAATTAGCTTGATGAAAGCTTCAGGCTGGGATTTGGATGTTGCGGCAAGGGCAGTGGAAGTGGAAGCTAGGTATTCGAAAAGGGCCCACAAAAAGTATGCATTTGAAGCCTACATTGCTAAGAGAATGTTTTATGGAATGTCATTGAAATCTTGCAATGTGGATGGAATCATGAGACATGATGACCCTATCGATGCCCTGATAGAGAAACCAGATTCCGACTTTGCCAGATTCTGCGGAGAAAAGTATCTGCTAGTTGTTCATCCAATGATGGAAGCTAGTTTTTTTGGGCATCTGGATAACAGGACACTTGTATTGAGCGGAAAGCATCCGAGGACTTCATTCTACCAAATATTCGCTAGAATGGCAAGGTGCGTTTGGGTGTTACGTGGCATTGCAGCTTCGATAGATTCTGAAGCAAAAATGTTCGCTGTCAAAAGAGGAAGTAAGTTCTCTGATGTCCATATGGAGTCTGTGGAGGAAGACGGGGAAGGTGCAGCTGTGTTGGGTGAACGGCAAGTGGAGTTTATGGTCATGCCCGGATTTAGAATTGGGGAAACAATTGTGAGGTCTCGGGTGTATGTTTCAAAACCAAAAATGTAACCGTCGTTTGGTAACGTTTACAGTTCACTGGCTAACTGGTAATTCAGCTGAACCTAACTTCTGTTATGAAAATGTTAATAGTTAATTTAGTCGAGAGAAATTATCAGAGTTTTCCAATCGTAGATGGAGTTTTAAATTTCCAAATTCGAGTTTTGATATGTGCTTGTTCCTTGATTCTTTTGCAGTACATTTATGGCATGTTTGCTTGGATTGGGATTTAGAATTATTCCGGTTCCTGACTTCTCATGTGTTTTACTAACGCGTATACTGGAATTATTTCGATTCATGACTTTCCACTTGTTTGCTATCACATACGGAATCACAAAGCATGTGGCTCCTACCATGAAATCTGCAATCCAATACCCGAAAATCAAGATCCCATTTCCGTGTTTCCTAGTTCCTCGATTCATAATTTCTCTCGTTCTAAGTAAACATGTCATTAGCGACGATTGTTTTAAAGTACGCATGTCAAAGAATTTTAATTTTACAAAATCACACTATGAACTTCCATCGCTTGTAGTGGAAAACAAGTCCTTGCAAAGCTCTCCATAAAATCTCCCAACCAAATCAATGAAAACGGGGCACTTGAGGTTCTTCCAGCAATACAGAAGCTCTTCCACATCCATCAAGTCCCCCACTTGCCCTTCCTCAATGATCATCTCCACCAAATAGTTCTCAAAACTCCTGCACGCATCTTGCACCTCATCGTGACCCGAAGTCGCCGCCCTTCCTCTCATAGCTTTCAAATAAGCCGGTGTGACGGGTGGCAGATAATGCGTTATTCCATTCCCGTCACCTCCTTTTTCTGAGAAGCTCTTGAGCGCTGCTAGTCTGTCCATTCTTTTCGGCTTCCTGGGTGAATAGAAAGTCGATAGGAACGAAGTTAACCGACTCTTCTTCTTCGGACCCTTTTTATCCGGTTTAACTTGGGTTTAAGGAGATCGACGGAGATGAAGAGCTCTTATAAAGAAGGGTTTTTTGAGCTTGAATCTGAAGATTTGCAAGAAATTTCTGCATGGTTTGAGTAGCTTGGATCTCAAGGCAACTGATGCTTTCAACTTCATATCTAATGATTGCTATAAACAGAGTGTGATTGAAGCCAGGGATAGTGCAGGATGGTGACTTTGCTACTTCCTATTGCTTTTAAGAGTTTTTACGTTGCAACAACGGTTGGTGAGAGAGAGAGAGAGAGAGAGAGAGAGAGAGAGTATTACGTAGAGATGGATGGATTAATGGGGTTCACGTTTTGGAGTCAAAAGTAAGTGGGATGCCATGAAATTATGAAAGGAAGTAAACCCTCTTGTTTTTTGAAAAAATTAGCAACTCCAGTGAGGTGTATACGAGGATGTGAAACATAAATATATATTTTCTTAATTGATTGGAAAGCTTTCGAATGGATATTTTAAGTAAGGGTGCAATTTGGTCAGGTTCAACGGGTTATATGGTCACTCCAATTCTAACCTAATATTCACAATTTGGATTTGAGTTGAGTTCGAGTTCATGCGGGTTTAGTCGAGTTCGAATTTTAAATGAGTTCGGGCATATGCGGGTTTGGTTTGCGTTTGCTAAACTTATCGAGTTCAATTTTAACATCTTATTTTGCATGATTTTTTCAAATTTTGAATCAAACAACATCAATATTAGTTAAAATTTTATTTATGCATCAATATACACACAAAAATTTGAGCAAACAACTTGGAGACCATTTACAATGATTCAACTACGCAAAGTGGAATTTAAATCACAAGAAGCATACCAAAGTTTCAACCAAAGGAAATGTAAAAGTAATAATATCATTCATTATCTATATGAATATTGACAATAAATTTTCAGCACAGTACATGCGCGAATTTGGTATAACAAAAAGTTACTACCAAAACATCATGAACTAAGTGTTAACCTAAACAAGTTTATTTTGGCGATAACTTGAGACCAATTGGTTGACCATCAAAACGTCTATCCTCTGATATGCATTTGGATCTCAGTTCATAGAATTCTGGGTTCAAGATATAAAGATAAGATGATTGAATTTCTTGTAAAATGTCAAAACTTTGAAAAACTAAACAAACACAAAAAAATATTCTGGCTAACAAGAATGGGGTGCCGGTGCTAGAGGCCCAGTGTTACCATGGTCCAGTCTAGCCCAATGGGCTGAAATAAAGGTCAGGTAAATTTGGACATTTCAGAACTGTTAATTTAATTGAGATGGGCTATATCTGACCTATTTTACAGGCCTATGTAACAGTAACAAACGGAATTGATAATGAAAAATAGAAAAGAAACAGTAAAAAGGTTTGTTGGGATGTGTCTCGTTCTCTCCAACAAGATTATCTTTGGATTTTTTTTTGCGAGGATTTTGGGAATCTATGAATCATGTCCGTTTATCGTATATTGTACGGTCAGTTTTCATCAGGTATTGTTTGTGTCAAATTTTAAATTAAAAATTTAAAATGATTTCTGAATGTAGATCTACGATGAATGGATCCTTGAGATCCTCACAAAATTTGGGATGAAGAGATCTGGATTCTCATTCTCGAGATCCTCACAGATTTATGATGAATGCAGATTTATGATGAAGAGATATGGATTCTCATTCTCCAAAATTTGGGACCGTTCGTCATCTTGGTCCAAATGTTTTTTTTTTCCTTGGTCTCTGTGGAAAAATTTAAAAAAAAATACTCCGAAATGAACTCATTTTATGTGTATTCGTGCTGGTTAGACGTCAACCATCAGATCTATTTACTTTATTGTTTGACATGTAAGGAGTAATTTCTCTTAATAAATTCATTGTACTGTTCAATAAGAGTGTGCGGACCTTTATATTTGTGTTTCTGATAACTTGTTTATGTACATCAGTCGTTAGTACATATGTTAAGCAAGTAGGAATGACTTCTTCTTCTTATAGTCTCATTTGGTGCAACCATATTATAATTCTGAATAATTTTTCAATCGAGAAGACTTGACTTGAAGGAAAACTAACTTTTCCCATTTTGGGTAATTCAGCTGAACCTAACTTCTGTTATGAAAATGTTAATAGTTAATTTAGTCGACAGAAATTATCAGAGTTTTCCAATCGTAGATGGAGTTTTAAATTTCCAAATTTCGAGTTTTGATATGTGCTTGTTCCTTGATTCTTTTGCAGTACATTTATGGCATGTTTGCTTGGATTGGGATTTAGAATTATTCCGGTTCCTGACTTCTCATGTGTTTTACTAACGCGTATACTGGAATTATTTCGATTCATGACTTTCCACTTGTTTGCTATCTCATACGGAATCACAAAGCATGTGGCTCCTACCATGAAATCTGCAATCCAATACCCGAAAATCAAGATCCCATTTCCGTGTTTCCTAGTTCCTCGATTCATAATTTCTCTCGTTCCAAATAAATATGTCATTAGCGACGATTGTTTTAAAGTACGCATGTCAAGATCCAATTTCCATTTCCTTCTCTCATGTTACAAAAATAGATTTATGAATTGGCATTTATATCAAAGAATTTTAATTTTGCAAAATCACACTATGAACTTCCATCACTTGTAGTGGAAAACAAGTCCTTGCAGAGCTCTCCATAAAATCTCCCAACCAAATCAACGAAAACAGGGCACTTGAGGTTCTTCCAGCAATACAGAAGCTCTTCCACATCCATCGAGTCCCACACTTGCCCTTCCTCAATGATCATCTCCACCAAATAGTTCTCAAAACTCCTGCACGCATCTTGCACCTCATCGTGACCCGAAGTCGTCGCCCTTCCTCTCATAGCCTTCAAATAAGCCCGTGTGGCAGGTGACGGACAATGCGTTATTCCATTCCCGTCACCCCCTTTTTCTGTGAAGCTCTTGAGCGCTGCTAGTCTGTCCATTCTTTTTGGCTTCCTGGGTGAATAGAAAGTCGATAGGAACGAAGTTAACCGACTCTTCTTCTCCGGACCCTTTTTATCCGGTTTAACTTGGGTGTAAGGTGATCGACGGAGATGAAGAGCTCTTATAAAGAAGGGTTTTTTGAGCTTGAATCTGAAGACTTGTAAGAAATTTTTGCATGGCTTGATTAGCTTGGATCTCAAGGCAACTGATGCTTTCAACTTCATATCTAATGATTGCGATAAACAGAGTGTGATTGAAGCTAGGGATAGTGCAGGATGGTGACTTTGCTACTTCTTATTGCTTTTAAGAGTTTTTATGTTGCAACAACGGTTGGTGAGAGAGAGAGAGAGGGAGAGAGAGAGTATTACGTAGAGATGGGTGGATTAATGGGGTTCATGTATTGGAGTCAAAGTAAGTGGGATGCCATGAAAAATTTAGCATCTCCAGTGAGGTGTATACGAGGATATGAAACATAGATATATATTTTTTAATTGATTGGAAAGCTTTCGAATGGATATTTTAAGTAAGGGTGCAATTTGGGCAGGTTTGACAGGCTAGATAGTCAATCCAATTCTAGCCTAATATTCACAATTTGGATTTGAGTTGAGTTCGAATGAGTTTGGGCTTACATGAATTTGGTTTGCTTTTGCCAAACTTATTGAGTTCAATTTTATAATATCTTATTTTGCATGATTTTTCAAATTTTGAATCAAACAATTGAAATTTTATTTACGTATCAATATCCACACAAAAATTTGAGCAAACAACTTGGAGACCATTTACAATGATTCAACTGCACAAAGTGGAAATTAAATCACAAAAATCATACCAAAGTTTCAACCAAAGGAAATGTAAAAGTAATAATATCATTCATTATCTATACAAATATTGACAACAAATTTTCAGCATAATACATGCGCAAATTTTGGATAACAAAAAGTTGCTACCAAAATATCATGAACAAAGAGTTAACCTAAACAAGTTTACTTTGGCGATAACTTGAGACCAATTGGTTGAACATCAAAACGTCTATCCTCTGATATGCATTTGGATCTCAGTTCATAGAATTCTGGGTTCAAGATATAAAGATAAGATGATTGAATTTCTTGTAAAATGTCAAAACTTTGAAAAACTAAACACACACAAAAAAATATTCTGGCTAACAAGAATGGGGTGCCAGTGCTAGAGGCCCAGTGTTACCATGGTCCAGTCTAGCCCAATGGGCTGAAATAATGGTCAGGTAAATTTGGACATTTCAGAACTGTTAATTTAATTGAGATGGGCTATATCTGACCTATTTTACAGGCCTATGTAACAGTAACAAACCAAATAGATAATGGAAAAAGAAAAGAAACAGTAGAAAGGTTTGTTGGGAGGTGTCTCGTTCTCCCCAACAAGATTATCTTCGGATTTTCTTTGTGAGGATTTTGGGAATCTGTGAATCATATCCGTTCATCGTATATTGCACGGTCAGTTTTCATCAGGTATTGTTTGTGTCAAATTTTAAAATGATTTCTGAATGTAGATTTACGATGAACGGATCCTTGAGATCCTCACAAAATTTGGAATGAAGAGATCTGGATTCTCATTCTCGAGATCTTCACAGATTTATGATGAATGCAGATTTACGATGAAGAGATCTGGATTCTCATTCTCCAAAATTTGGGACGGTTCGTCATCCTGGTCCCGTTGTTTTCTTTTTTTCTTGGTCTCTGTGGAAAAATTAAAAAAAAAAAAAAAAGCTCCGAAATGAACTCATTTTATGTGTATTCGTGCTGGTTAGACGTCAACCATCAGATCTATTTACTTCGATGTTTGACATGTAAGGAGTAATTTCTCTTCATAAATTCATTGTACTGTTCAATAAGAGTGTGTGAACCTTTATATTTGTGTTTTTGATAACTTGTTTATGTACATCAGTCGTTAGTACATATGTTAAGCAAGTAGGAATGACTTCTTCTTCTTATAGTCTCATTTGGTGTAACCATATTCAATGTAGAAAGTAATTCTGAATAATTTTTGAATGAGAAGACTTGACTTGAAGGAAAACTAACTTTTCCCATTTTGGGGATTATAATTCATAATGTTTATTTGTCTGTTGGCACTTGGTGTCTTATCTCTGTCTTTAGTTAATGTCACTTGTCACAAAGTCTCTTTGTTCCTATTTCTTTGTCACCATCAATTGCCCAATACGCACATATCATTTTCAGCGCATTTACTCTTCACACGTAGGAGTCGATATCGTCTTAATTCTTAGGCCTTTTCTTTAATGGAACTACAGGCCTTTTCTTTAACGTAACTATAGGAGTCGATTTCAGATTTGTGACATCGATTTTTATACACAATTTTTGACATATACCTTTTTATGGGACTCACTTGATAATGTATTTCAACGATTCGAACCGTCTATTTTTTAGATCTTTCCTCAATTACAAGTTGATCACCTTGCAGTCCCTAGTGTGTTGTAGTAGTAAAGAAGGGGTTGAAGCATTAGCTTAAACCGCGCAGAAGAAATTTTAACGCTCATATGACTTAACTATGCATTGAACTTGGTCAACCGCCAGTATGCGTGCACAAATTCGTATTGTTAGGCTATTGTAAACTCCTGAATAAATTGTCACAAAATAATTCATGGCACATGAGCAATTGAACATAACATTCTTCCAAGTTCTTACATACACCCAATCAAGTTTTTAATTGTATGGTTTTAATTATATAAGTCACCCTCCAAGCCATTTCTCGTTGCTTCGCTCTCCAAATTTGTATTGCCTCTAACAAGTTAAAAGAGAATTAATACAATAACAATTAACAAAATACGGTATTGCCTATAAACTCGTAGCGTATCTATACATGTTTTATTATTTTACATTATGTACATAACTTAGTTACGATATTTCAGTATCATATAATTTTTTTTTTTAAAATTTTCTGACAGTGAAAACATTTATGCCATAACTAGTAAACAGAGGTTTTCCAGCCTTGGCCTTAAGAGCAGGTGGGCCTTGTGGAGATTAAGCACATGGAAAAGGCATGGAATATCATCATTTGTAAAGCATGGAATTATGGGAGATACGCAGCACTTGGTAGACAAATGGGTCTTCGCTGTTAGTGAAATCATCATTAGTGTTGGCTGCTTTATGCAAACAAAAGAAGTAAGATCCAGATAAGATAAAATTCATTTGATTCCTAATCCATATTTTACACGTTATGTTGAGTTTGATTTCTGACACTGGTAAATTATATATTGATAAGTAGAGGAAGGATGACTTTTGCCTTAGTAAGTCTTCCTAATTCCTAAAAAGATGAATTACGGTGGCAAAGCCACCCGTTGGTATTTTCTTTTAGAAAAAAAAAAAATTAGAAAATTTAAAAGAAGGGGACAACAACGCATTTGGGGTATATATGTATACAGGAGCCAGAAAGCATCAAATAAATCAAGCTCTGATATTCTTCATTGTTTATGATAAAGAGTAAAACAATATCGTACCATATATTCCATGTATAAATAATATAGAAATTGGGAATCCTTCGAGCTTAAGTGTCACGTCCCGGCCCGGGGCGGAACCACTTCCCGGGCCCACTCCACCACCATAGCACGATATTGTCCGCTTTGGGCTTACCATTCCCTCACGGTTTTGTTTTTGGAAACTCACGAGCAACTTCCCAGTGGGTCACCCATCATGGGATTGCTCTAGCCCTCTTCTCGCTTAACTTCGGAGTTCCTACGGAACCCGAAGCCAGTGAGCTTCCAAAAGGCCTCGTGCTAGGTAGAGATGAGAATATATATTTAAGGATCAGTCCTCTGGGCGATGTGGGATGTCACAATCCACCCCCCTTAGGGGCCCGACGTCCTCGTCGGCACACACGCGGCCAGGGTTAGGCTCTGATACCAAATTGTCACATCCCGGCCCGGGGCGGAACCACTTCCCGGGCCCACTCCACCACCATAGCACGATATTGTCCGCTTTGGGCTTACCATTCCCTCACGGTTTTGTTTTTGGAAACTCACGAGCAACTTCCCAGTGGGTCACCCATCATGGGATTGCTCTAGCCCTCTTCTCGCTTAACTTCGGAGTTCCTACGGAACCCGAAGCCAGTGAGCTTCCAAAAGGCCTCGTGCTAGGTAAAGATGGGAATATATATTTAAGGATCAGTCCTCTGGGCGATGTGGGATGTCACATTAAGTTTGTACAACATAATCACAAATATTATTACTTTAAAACAACTTTAATACATAGTTTTGGTTCTTTTTAATACTTGGTTTACATGTACCAAAAAAAAATTACTTGGTTTTCGTTATTATTCAAAAGGTCACTTGTAATTATTAAAATTTAAAAATATCATCTTTTTAATATCAGTTAGTTTGTGTTTGGTTTATGAAGTTGGAAACAAGAGAACAGAAACAACATCCAATAAAAAAGCAAAAGAAAAAAAAAAGATCGAATTATAGGTTTGTAAACACGTCTTTGAGTTCGATTTTTAGCTCTAGTAAATTACACGATCGTGGCTAAGAGGAGGTTGAAATGTCTTTGGGGATCGAAACTTTTCAACCCCTAAAAGGATGAATTTATGTGACGAACCCACCAGCTAGTCTCTTTTTAAATAAAAAAGAAAATGGAGAGAAATTTTTAATTTTTAGTAAAAGGGTAATTTGGTATATTTAATGGAGATCAATGCTTCAGTCTGCAGAAGATGAGGTAAAAATTTGGAATAGTTCGCTTGGTGTTTGCAAGAAATCACCATGCACAAACAGTGAACTAATTGGATATGCCAAGTAATACAAACAAACAAATTAACCCTAGTTAATTAGGGCTAAAACTTACCTTCAACTTGTTGTATACTCTTTTTTCATTTCCCATCTCGTGATTAAAACAGGAAGACGTAGAACTCATTGCATGAAAGTTTTTTTTTTCCTGTTTTAATATTCATTACTTGCCCCCTGTTGCTTTCTTACTAAAATTTTTATAGTACTGGACCCTGTTTTAATATTCATTACTTGCTACCTGTAGCTTTCTTACTAAACTTTTTATAGTACTGGACCCCAATTACAACCTTCTATAGACCAAAACGTTCAGCTCTTTTAACTATTTTTCCATCTTCACTTGTGCTCCTTACTCAAAACCCCCAACTCATAAGAGTGAGAGCCATACACACACTCACACAACCAAGTGAGTCAGTGAGAGAGAGGAGAGTGAGGAGCTACCTGTTTCATTCTTTGATGGGGAACTACAAGTTCAGATTTTCAGACATGATCCCAAATGCCTGGTTTTACAAGCTCAAAGACATGAGAAGTACCAGAACCAAAAACCACAACACCTCTCACCACCACCATCACTCCACCAAGCAACAAAAACCAACCTCAAATAAATTTCCACCAACCCAAAAATCCCACATTTCTCAAACAAGAAGATACTCCTACTACTTGTCCACGCAACCCAACAGAGAA